GGGCTCTCAAGCCTGCTCGCGAACGGGACCCTTGCACAGGCCAGGCGGAAGCACTCACTGACGACCAGTTGTCGACGATCGCACCCAGGCACCTTGCATCGACGCGCATAACCAAAGCCGCTGCACGGGCGTGCCTGGGCCCACCACGAGCTGGGCAACTTGTAAGAATCCGTGCGCGACCTCACCGACCTGGTGGACCTGATTCCACATTCGATTCATAAAACGGAGGTGGGCGCTCTGTGCCAGACGGTCGCGCCCTCTCTCACAGCTGGCGGCACCGGATGCCAGAGCTCCCGTCGAGGACAGCCACTCGCACAACAGACCTGCTACTACTGGCGACGGCCAGCGCGCCGCCATCGTCGCCACTGGTACGCTACCTGCCGCCAGCTGGGGCGACAGAGCAGCTAGCTGCCAACACGGCGATGAGACGCACGAGGCGGGAGGCGATCGAGATCGTCGACTGAGAGCGCCACTCCACTGCAGAGGACCCTCCTGCGCCGCTCGAGCCACCCCATCCTCGTCGCATAGTTGGCACCAGCTACCTTCAACAGTGGCCTAGGCAGCCCTCTTCGCCGCAACTACTTTGCCGGCTGAGGAACGAAAACCACGACATCGTCCAGGTCACCCTCGCCGCAGCGGGAGGGACCGAGCTGGGCCCACCCGCCCTTCCCCGCTAGCCTTCCCTCCGTGGCTTTGCTGAGGTGTTGGGTGGTGGCGTTGGTGGGTGGTGTTGGGCCCACGACCTCTCAGGGGGAACGAAAGGGGGGGTACTGGCACCAGGGGAGGGGGGGAATCATCGACCTGGACGTGGCGATGCATCGCCGATAGGTCGGTGACGGGCCCCCGATAGCGGCACCGGGTGATCGGAAAGGGTGGGCGGCTGTCGGGCCCCTGTCGGCGGTCAATTGACAACGGGGGGTCGATGTATCCCATCCTTAGTGGGCCCTGGAAACGACAGGGCCGTTCTTTTACCGGTTCCGTTTTGCTGTTTTTTTGCTGGCTCCGACGCAAATTTTTTACAGGTTCCGTCGCCGTGTTTTGACCGGTTCCGGCTCGGGTTCCAATCCTGGAGCCGTTGTTTTGCCGTTTCCGGTCGCCGTTTTTCTGCCGCTTCCGTTTTCAAGGGGCACTTTCTTTTGGAAACTGTGAAAAAACGGCCCTGCCGTTTCTGGGGCCCACAAAGGGTGGGCGGCTGTCGGGCCCCTATCGGCGGTCAATGGAGAACGGGGGGTCGATGTATCCCACCCTGTTCATACCCGCCCCCCCCCCCCAAAGTTGCCCCTGATCCCCTCCCCCCAACGTAGCCCCTGTGCATACCCCTCCCCCCCACCCTGTGCATACCCCTCCCCCCCCCCCCCCCCAACGGTGCCCCCTATCCTCCCTCCCTCCCTGGGCGGGCGCCAGCGACGCGGGCGGCGACCGCAGGCGCCGAGTTTGCTAGCCCCCCCCCTGCGGCCACAGGGCCTGCCGCATGGCGCCCCACTGGCGAGGGCCCGGCGGCGCCAGGAGAAAGAGGAGAGGGGGAGGGGGGAGCGGGAGGAAGGCGGCGGAGAGGAGGAAGAGAGGAGGAGGAGGAGGAGGAGGAGGAAGGAGGGAGGATGAGGAGGAGGAGGAGGAGGAGGAGGAGGAGGAGGAGGAGGAGGAGTGGGCGGAGGCAGGAGGGGCAGGAGGAGGAATTGAGATGAGGAGAGGGGGAGGAGGGGCGGAGGGGAGGAGGAGGAGGAGGAGGAGAGGAGAGAGGAGGAGGAGGAGGAGCAGGAGGAGGAGGTGAAGGAGGAGGAGGAGGTGGAGGAGGAGGAGGAGGAGGACTGGAGACTCAGGACACATCCTGCAAGACACCCTCCCGTCCCAGAGCGCCTCCCCAGCAGTCGCTGCAGACATTCCTGCCTCCACCGCGCGGAGCGCCCGCTGGGAAGACGTGCATCCCAAGGGCCTGCACTTCGGCCGAGAGCCCCGCTTTTGAGGAGGGGCCGACCCGCATCCGTGCAGCCACGAGAAATGCCACAGGGTACACAGTCAACCCGTATCATTAGGATGCACGATTACACCAGAAGCTAGACCCAATCTGTAGATGGTTTGATCGACAAGGAAACCTGGAGCCCGGGAACCCAGAACCCACCGAACTCGGCCCCTAAACAATAACTAAGATCCCGGGAACCAGGAACTGGGAACCTGGGAATCCAGCCGGCCACCAAAATCGGCGGGAAACTTTCGCCAAATCTTTCAATTTCCGCTGGGACCCCTTCAGAGCAAGCACTGATTGGGGAGTGAGGATGCACAGGCCTTGGGGTGCCATGCCGACACTCTGCGAGCGGGGCGCGGCCAGCGAAAGCGACCAAAGATGGACCGTGGAGGCAAGGATGCAAGGGTACCCTTGGGAAGGTTGCCCATCCTTATAGTGCGGGTTGACTGTATGATCATAGCTGGAGGCGAGGGAGTGTCAAACTAGATCACTCAGCCCCGTCTCAATCAGAAAACGGACAACGGTACTTGTCCGCGCGCACCTGATTATTTTCGGCTCCCAGCCATGGCGAGACGGCCAACCATTGGATATGCGGAGACGGGGTGGTGTTTGATGGTCTAGGGACAAGCAGATCAGCATGAAGAGAAAAAGCTGTCGGAGGTCTGCGCGGATTTCTTGGATCGCCGCCCCTGACGCGGTCCGCGCGCCAGAGGGGAGGGCACAGCGCCGATCCAAGAAGTCCGCGCGGACCTTCGAACGTTCATGGTTATGCGGAGTTGTCTGCTTCGATGGTCCCACTCTCACAGTGCCGGTGAGATTCAGCCAAAGGGGGATACCGAAGCAGCTGCACGCAGCCGGTCTCCCGAACACCCTGAGGTCCCCGCGGGCGGGCCCGTGCCGTCGGGGGAGAAGGCGTCTGCGCCGGGGCAGGACACAGCTCTGTGCGCCGCAGCTTTCGCACGTTCCCCGCCCCACCCCTTGGACGATAGGGTATCCATCAACCAGAAGATCGATCAACGAATGTCTGACGATGAGGTTTCTGCCAGCACGGCTCGGTGCGATCGCATGATCACCATCTGGGGCTTGCCATCGGCAAGCGCATGCTGCAGGCTTACACCCTTTCGGACCCGCTCCAACCCTGGCATGACGGAAACGATTCCTGAGAAAGACGTTTTCTGGACCCTGCGGCCTTCCCCTGGAGACCAGCCTCCCCACCCCCAAACCTCTTGACGGTCCCGGGGCTCCGGGAAGGCCTCGAGAGGCCGAAACTGCAGAAAAAAACCTCTGCACTCCCTGCCTCCAGGACCCGCTTCATCCACGCCGACCCTCCTCCTCCTCCTGCTCCTCCTGCTCCTCCTGCTCCTCCTGCTCCTCCTCCTGCTCCTCCTCCTGCTCCTCCTCCTGCTCCTCCTCCTGCTCCTCCTCCTGCTCCTCCTCCTGCTCCTCCTCCTCCTCCTCCTCCTCCTCCTCCTCCTCCTCCTCTTCCTCCTCCTCCTCCTCCTCCTCCTCCCCCGACCCTCCTCCTCCTCCCCCCCGGCACGGGACGGCCAGGCCCTGGGCTCAAAGAAAACAGATCTTCAAACGCAGCCTATCAGGGGTCGCCTATACTCCGCGGCGCGCCCAGGGGGGAGGGCAGAGGGGTTGGGCCTCCTCAGTTCGGAGGTCGGAAAGGGGGTGTGGCACAAAGGGGTATGGTGCCAATCGTGGACATGGCGATGCTATCTGCGACAAATAACATCGCCATATCTTTCCCTCCGCATGACATTCGCACCCCACCCCCTTATACCATACCCCCTGTCCTGCCCCCGGACTCGGACGGCTCAGAAGGCCTCCGGCCTCCCGGGAAGCTTCCCGGGGCTCCTCCGAAGCCCCGCCGCACTCTGAGAGGGCCTGCCCCCTCTCGCGTCCCCCCTCGACGCGCTCCCTGTGCATGAGCGACGAGGAGAAACGAGCCTTACTGACTACCTACCAGACCACCCCAACCCAACCCGAAGACCCGAATTTGACCCGAATTTCGGGTTGGGGGGGGGGTACGGATACCATGTGTTTTTTCAACGTTCCCCGACCCCCCCCCACTGGAAATCGAGGATAAATTTGGGCCTTCGGGTTGGGTTGGGGTGGTTTGGTGGGTGGTGACTTACGCACGAGGCCGTCGCGACCTCACGCCGCGGCCCACGTGGGCCGCTCGCGGCACACCGCGTGGAGGACGAGCGCGCTCACGCGCGACCTCGCGCAGGAAGCTCCCCGCGCGAATGTCCGCGCAGTTCGGGGGGACAGGACGGTACCGATACCGCTGTGCACTGGACCTCTCCAGGGGTGCGCTCTGACCAGGATTTCGAGGCGAATCTGGCCCTGGCGACGAGGGCCCCTCAGCAGGCCCAGAGAAGGCAAACACGAGGGAACCGTAGCAACATGGGTACCTTTTCCTCCTCTGATGCTGGACCCGTTCTTCTTCTGTCGCTCTCATGGCCACGCGCACCCGCCAGCTTGGCCAGAATAGGGGTGCTCTGCACGGCGCGGGCGCCCCACGACAAAAAAAGCAGAGGGCCCCGAACGCCTGCAGGTTGGAGGCCGCGTAAATGGGGGGGCGACGAGCGCGGGAGCAGCGAGGGACGCAGTACTGGGGCCCTTCAGGGCACCTCCAGGGGTCCTTCAGGGCCCCACAGGGGGCCTTCAGGGCAACGAAAAGGGCACCTTCCTCCCCCCTCCCCTCATTCATCGCCCCTCCATGTATTCGCGCCCCAGCCGAGGCCCCCCATGCATTCGGGTGTTGCTAGAAGTGCCCCTGGCCCAAGGTGCCCCCAGGATTTCCAAGGAGGCCCCCCACGGCCTCCGGAGCACCCCTCACAAGGCCCAGAGGGCCCCAGGGGCCCCAGAAGTGAGCGACAGGCCGGGGGGCACCTCGGGCCAGGGGCACCTCCGAATCCCCGAGCAATCCCACCCCCAAAAAAGCTGAGGCCCCCTCCGAACGCCTGCCGGAGAGGCCGCAGGCGCCCGCTCACGGCTCGCCGGGTCCCCGCCCACCGCCGCGGGCTCTTCAGGCCTCCAGGCGCGCCGGCGCCCCGGAGGAGAAGGAGGAGGACGACGACGACGAGGACGACGACGACGACGACGACGAGGAGGACGACGACGACGACGACGAAGACCACGACGACGACGACGACGACGACGCCAAGGACGACGACGACGCCGAGGACGACGAGGACGAGGACGACGAGGACGAGGACGAGGACGACGAGGACGACGACGAGGAGGACGACGAGGACGACGAGGAGGACGACGACGACGGCGACAAGCGGGAGGACGACGACGACGAGGACGACGACGAGGAGGAGGCGACGAAGAGGAGGCGACGAGGACGACGAGGACGGTCGCCCAAGAACGAGGACTAGGACGACGACGCTGGACTGAGAGCGACGAAGACGAAGACGCTGCACGAGGTGACAACGGCGAGGCCAGCGACGACGCCCACCGCCGCGGGTTGGGCCCCCAGGCGCGCCGGCGCACAGGAGAAAAGAGGAGGACGACGACAACGACGCGAATTCGGGCTTAGGTTGCCGAGAGGTGATACAGTGGGAGCTCGACCACAAGAGAACTTCCACAAGAAATCCAACCCTGAGACCCCAGGATGTCCATTGATTTCTGGTATGGGGACGTCACATGTTGCATCGTACAACCATCTAAAACCAAGAAACCCAGGGAACCCTGGAGGCAAGCAGGGTGTTTCTTAGCATGGGCTTCCTCTGTAGGAGTTCGAGTTTGATGCTGCCAAGTTACGGACGGATGGTAAGCACGAGTTACTCTTGGAGACCGAAGTTGGGAGTTTGGGGGCTGCGGGCGACCAGTGAAAACGGTAAAGGACAGGGCCGCAGAGGCAACGACACAATGGCACCCTAGATGAAGACGCGCGTCCTTACTAAGCGCGTTGACTGATGATTCGTGCGCTCTGGGTTCCGTTCTGCCAGGTCGCTGTGTTGAGACGCAGCGGCCGCCCCGCCAATGTCTTGTACGCAACGCAAGAACAAAACAGCGGGGGGCACACGCAGGGAGGGACGAAGGCTGGGAGGAGAGGGCTGCGAGCGAGGGGGGAAGTGAGAAGGAGCAGGCCTCCTCAAAGGCGGCGGGACCTCTCCGAAGCCCTCGCGCCCCCCGAGAAGGTTTCGCCGTGCCTCCAGGGAGGACTCGGAGAACTTCTGAGAAGGCGCGGGGGACCTCCGAACCTTCTGAGAAGGCCCGCGCCCTTCCCACTTCCCCCCCCCCCCGGGCGCGACGGCCGAGGGACCGGCCATCGCTCGGACGTCCAGTCCGCGCGCGTTCTTCGGTTTCGTGCACGTGTTGTTTTTGGATGGCTCGATGCTCCATGGTGCTCCTCGAGGGTCCTCGCCGAGAGAAACGTGCACATGTCAGAGCAATGCCAGGACCACTTCTCACTTCCTCCTCCTCCTCCTCCTCCTCCTCCTCCCCTCCTCCTCCTCCTCCTCTCACTCCTCCTCCTCACTCCTCTCCCCTCTCCTCCTCCTCCTCCTCCTCCTCCTCCTACCTCCCCTCCTCCTCCTCCTCCTCCACCTCCTCCTCCTTCGCCTCCTCTCTCCTCCCTCCTCCTCCTCCTCCTCACCTCCTCCTCCTCCTTCCTCCTCCTCCCTCCCCCTCCCCTCCTCCTCCTCCTTCCTCCTCCTTCTCCTCCTCCGCCTCCTCCTCCTCCTCAACCCTCCTCTCACTCCTCACTACTCCTGCTCCTCCCGCGCCTCCTCCTCCTCCTCCCCTCCTCCTCCTCCTCCTCCTCCTCCTCCTCCTCCTCCTCCTCCTCCCCCTCCTCCTCACTCCTCCTCCTCCTCCTCTTCCTCCTCCTCCTCCTCCTGGGGAGGGAGGGAGGGGCGGAGAGCCCACGGGGAGGAGCTTCCAGGGCCAGAGTTGGGTCGGACACGTCCTCCTGCAGGCAGATCTTGGAAGACAGATCAACCCGGGTCGAGCAATGATGCGGAAGAGGCGGGAGGGAACGAGAAATCGTCACCTGCTTGTGCTTCACCAAACATGGGTAGCCCTCCCGTCGAGGGACGTACCCGACGTCAGGAGGCCCCCGACTGCTGCCTGGCGGCCGGGCACGTCGTGCCCGCAGTGGGCGGCCCCGGCAGGAGGACCGCGGCAGCGAGAGGGGGGCGTCGGGGAGCCGCCGCCGCAGAAGGGAGGCAGGAAGGGCTGGTGTCCTGGGGCCCTGCGGCACAAGCTAGGGTGATGCGGATGGGCCGTGGCAAATGTGGCGCTCGAGGCCAGGCCCCTGATGGAGGTCGGGCGTGTACCCCTGCAGAGGGATTTGGGACGAACAAAAAAAAACAAACATGCTCAAAAGATGATCAACAGATTGTCTCAAGGACTATTTTGGAATATTCCTCCTGTAGAGGGACAGGCCCGACTGAACCCTTGATGCGACGGCCGAGCTATCGCAGCGCCGACAAAGGTGGCGCTGCGGAGTCAGATAGTTCCCGTCGTCGTCCGCATCCTCCCTTTCCTCATCCTGCTCCCTCATGTGCTGTGCAGGAGGGGTCTCAACGTTAGCGGGCGAGCCCAGGGATGAGCTGGAGACATGCTACTGAATAGCACAAACCGCCCGGGCTTGTTTTGGCTTGAGCGCTGGCCAGGCGGAGCTGGGACGCAACGCTTGGCATATTCGCCCAGGAACCCTCAAACTACAGAAAAGCAGCCGCTGGGGCCGGTGTTCTTTGTCGAGGAGGCGCTGGCTACACGGGCTGGGAGCCCAAAATACGCAGGCGCACTTGGGACCCACGGAGGTCAAGAGAGCAACCCTCTCGGCCTGTTTTCACAGTTTTGGACGCCCGACACGGACACGGAAAGAATGGGTACAATTCCCAACAACAAATGTCTCGAATGCCCGCTGTTGGGCAGGCGGCCTTCTGTCTCAAATGTACACACGTCGCGGCGACACCGACAGCGAGTCCTGCTCAGACTGAACGGGAACTGCTGTTGGGCCTTTTGTACCCATTCTGTCCGCACCCGTGCCGCTCGTGCCGAGCAGCGTGCCTGGCCCGCGAGCGGGCACACCTGGAGTGAGCTCCAGGGCAGCCGCGCTGGCCGCGCGGCGTGCCCGCCGAGCGCGCGGGCGGACCCGGAGCGAGCTGCACCGCGGCAGCGCTGGCCCCGCGAGGTGCGCCAATCGGGCGGGCGGGCACGCTCGGAGCGGGCTGGTCGGCCTGCTCCGGCAGCAGCGGCAGCGCCCAGGCTTCAGGAGTGGAAAAAACACACAGACACAATGAACCGTCCACTCCCAGGGAAATATGGGAAAATATGCGACGTGGGGGGGAAAACAAAAACCCAGAAAATATGGGATAATACGGGGAATCCTGTTATTTGTGTATTTATTTGTGTGTCCCAGGGCCCCTTGAAGGCTGCCGGCCGCCAGGGGGCGCGAGTGGAGTGAGCCTCCCGACCTGCTTCCTGGCAGCGTCGCTTGCCGCTCGGGTGTGCTCGGTGAGCGGGTGGGCGCGCTCGCGGCAGAGACTTCCAGGCGACGGAGCGCCAGCCACGCAGGGTGCAGTCGGAGCGAGCGGGTAGGCTCGGCGTGAGGCTCCCGGCAGCTGGGGCGGGTCACGCGGTGCACGCCGCAGGCCGGCGCGCACGCCCACAGCGAGCGCCCTGGCCACGGCGCGGGCAATCCGAGGCGCCGGGCCCTCGGAGCGGGCACGATTTGGAAGCTTCCTGGCAGCCATGCGGGTCACGCGATGCGAGCCGCCAGCGCTAGGACGGGCGTGTCCCCCCACAGGGGGATCTTGGGTGGAAAATCGAAAATATTCATAGAATACTCCCGAAATGGTGGGAAACAGTCAGAAAATAATCCCCAAACCAATTTTTGGCTATCTTGGAATCTCCCTCCTGTAGAGGGACAGGCCCTACTTAACGCCAACGAGCGGATACTCACAGGAAGCTTACTGCAGGCTCACGGGAGGGGCACCGCCCCGGGGCACCTGTACTGTGGGATGTACTGGGAGCAAACAGCGAAGCGTCCAGGGAAAGCCTGGCCGGGGAAAGAGTGCGACGCGATTCGGGCTGCAAGCCCCCAGACAGCCCGCGACGAGGCGGGAGCGCCTTTCCTGACTGAGTGGCGCAGTATCAAGACACAGCATTGTTATTGATGCGGACCTGGCTTCCAACCACCTCTGAAGCGCTCAAGCGTAAGCTTCGACTTCAGGAGAAAATAACCCCTGTCGACGCATGAGCGTCTTGGCGGATTGATGGGGTCAAACCATCATATACATGCAATAAACACATTCGGTACTTTTACCATCGTGCTCAGTGCTTCAGTATGCCTCATGCATCCATCAAGATATCCAGCCCCTGAGGGGAAATCATATACAAAGTGTACCCGACATTCTCCCACCCAGTTTTCGGGCCGAAGGAGGCCCTATCAGCACCGCTTTCCAGAAGCGTTAACGCTCACGGCCGAGGCAGTCGCCCCAAAACCTCTAGAGGCCACAGCTGGTAGACATTCCGGAGCTTCCGGGAGAGGCGCAGGGCCTCCAGGAGACACCGAAAAGCCTCTGTGAGAGACCACTGCGTTTCTAGGAGAGGCCTCAAGTTCTGAGAGAGACCTCGGAGCCTCTGGGAGAAACATCGGGGCCTCTTGAGAGAGGGTTCCGAGCCGAGGGCCCAGGCCTCTTGGGGGGTCCCCGTTGCTCCTGGGAGACAGCTTCTTGGCGAGGACCCCGAATCTCTGGGAGAAACACTTGGGCTCCTCGGATGTGCCTGACAGCCTACGGAGCCTCGGAGCTCGAAGCCCAGGAGTGTCGGGGGGGTCATCACTGAGGTTGCTTCTGGTGGCAAGGGCGAGGATGATGTCATGATGCGACTGGCTCAGGATACCGTCCAGGATTTCTGGATATCTGGCTGCAGTCGTCCGTGGAGCCCGCGCGGGACAACAGGAAAGCCTGGAAGTCTTGGAACTGGCGAGCGCCGCGACCTCTTGATCATGTGAGTAACCAGTCGTTAATCGGCGGCGCGCGCACGGGGGCGGTGCGAGGGTGGGGCACTCTAAGATCGCAATGGGGGGGTTTTAGAAGGCAGGGGCCGTCTCAGAAGCGGCGCCTGGAGGCTTCTAAGACGGTGTTTTACAAGCCCCCAAGCGTTTCGAAGAAAGCCCCTGCCTTCAGAGAGGGCCCCCTGCCTTCTTAGAAGAACCCCCCCCCTCTCGCGCAACCCCCGCGAGCGCGCCGGGGTGGACAGAACCCCCTCAGGCAAGACACCCTCCAACGGAAACGACCCAGGACCAGATCCGGCAGGAGCAGACCCCCAAACATGCGGCCGCAACACCCTCTCGAGAAGCACAGAAAGGTCATTCGCTGATCGGCTTCGCAGGGCAGGGGCTGCCTCCCAGCCTCCGATCCACAGCACAACGCCCCGCTCTGAGCCCCAAATCCGCGCGTCGACCTCGGAACCCACAGCGGCTCACCGCGCGGTCTGTGGCCGCACGGCTCCGGGACCCTGGAGGCCCCGGTCGCCCGGGGCGCTCTCGGAGCTCGGCCCGAGGCACACGACCACGCGGCGGCCCCGCCAGACGTCACCACCCGGCCTGGCCACCGCGCCGCCCGGGCGCCCCCGACAGCGCGCGGGCGGCGGCCTGGAGCGAGACCACCTCCTCCGGCAGCGGCTCCTCCGCGGGCAGCTCTGGGGCGGGCGCCTCGGCGGCCCGCGCCCCCGCGGAGCTCCGCCCCTCCACCCGGTGGCGATGTGCGCCCCTCCGCGCGGGCGCACGGCACCACCTCCGCAGCCACCCTTTCTGCTCCTCCTCTCCTTGTTGCTCCTCCTGCTGCTGCTGCGCACGCGCTGGGACGGGTGCCCCGTCGCGTCCCGCCGACGCCGGCGGCGCCGCGCCCCCTCCTCCTCCTCCTCCTCCTCCTCCTCCTCCTCCTCCTCCTCCTCCTCCTCCTGCTCCTCCATTCCTTTTCCTTAAGAAGATCTCCTCCCTGTCGGACGCCGAGGCCAGTCGGAAGGGCGGGCTGGGCGTTTCGCCTGAGACTTCCTTACCACTTTTGAACCCGCGAAGCATGCAGACTGCCAACAGCTTCACATATTGAGGGCGGGTGTTTTTGCACGATGTTGCTCTCGCCTCAGCGCCGCGCACATTCGTTTCGACAACTAGCATGAGCTGAACAAATTGAGAGCGGGGGGGGTCAAAATGTGGGTCTCGCCTTAGCGCCGCGAACATCCGTCTTAAAACATGTGCAAGAGCTCCACGGACTGAGGACAAGTCGTTTTCAAAGTGTGGGTTTCGCCTTAGCGCCGCGTACATTCGTTTCAACAATTTGTAAGAGCTTAACGGAGTGAGGGCGGGTGGGGTCAACGTGTGGTTCTCGCCTTGGCGCCGCGCACATCCGTCTTAACAAAATGCAAGAGCTTCACGAATTGAGGACAGATCGTTTCTAAACTGTGGCTCTCACCTCAGTGCCGCGCACATTTGTTTCAAACATTCGTAAGGGTCTCACTGATTCTCATGGTTAACGTACCAACAATGGTGTTTTGGAGCGATTCTGGATTGACAGGGCGCAAGGGTTACGTTGATTCGCGGTGTTAAATCCCAGGAATGGTCGGGGGGCGGAGGTGGGGAACGGGAACGGAAGAGGGAGGAAGCGCCCCAGCCCAGCCCAGCGCAGGCCGGAAACTGCAGCACGCTGGGAGGGGGGGAGGCCGACTCCAGTGCTGACGGCACCCCTCAGTTTGCCGAGCGGAAGGAGGAGGAGGAGGAAGAGGAGGAGGAGGAGAAGGAGGTGGACGACGACGACAGCGACGCGATCACGACGACGACGACGACGACGGCAACGACGACGACGAAGACGACGAAGACGACGACGGCGACGACGACGACGACGACGGCGACGGCGACGGCTACGGCGACGTCGACCACGCCGACCACTCCAGCGACGACGACGAAAACAACGACGACGACGACGACGACGACGACGACGACGACGACGACGGCGGCGGTGGCGACGACGACGACGACAACGGTTTTCGGGTCATGATTCGGGTCTTCGGCGGCCGTTGGGGACGATCTGGGCACCCCACGAACGCTCTCGGCGAGGCGCAGCTGCTCGGAAGCATCCCGAGGCTGGAAGACTGCCGAGAGCCGACGGACATGTCCGAAGTCCTCGGCGGCGGCGGCGGCAGCGCGGCCCGAGGCCGCGGCCGGCTCGGCGTCGCCGGCGACCTCCGAGAAGGTGGCGCCGCTGACCTCCGTGAGGGTGGCCGTGCCGCCCTGTGGACGGGCGGCTCTCCGCGAGGGGCGCGCGGCTCTCCCGGTGGACCAGGAAGCAAGCGACACCGCCCCACCTGCGGCCCCACGGGGCCTAGCGCATACCAGGAAATCTGGCGTGGGCTTCTGCGTGGTATACGCCACGGCCCCGATGGGCCGTAGCGCAATGCGGAGGGCCGCAGGTGGGGTGGCGTCGTGTGTTTTTTGGTCGACCCAGGACGTCGTCGTCGTCTTCGTCGACATCGCCGCCGCCGCTGCCTTCGTCGCCGCCGCCGCCGCCGCCGTCGCCGAGAGCGTTCACGGGGTGCCCAGATCGATCCGAACGGCCGCCAGAGACCCGAGTTATGACCCGTCATCGTCGTCATCGTCGTCGTTTTCTTTGGGCCCCCCAGGGGAGCCAGCGCCACACAGAATCCGTGTGAAAAGTGGGATCGGGAGCTCCCCCCCGTAACGGGCAGATTAAGAAGTCGAAGCTCTGGGTCGGGAAGGGGATACTCATGAGGAGGAAAACGAAAGCAAGGGGAGAACAAGAGACGATGAGGAGGATCAGAGTAAACCATGCTCACCCGCTCACACCACTGATGCTGCAAACACCCTCTTGAATGTCTTGTGTCTGTGATTGTCTTGTGTCTGCGCTTAGATCGGCTCCCGGACTTGGGCAACAGAGCATCGCGCAAACTCTATGCAAAACTGCACGCACATGCAATGCCATGCTATGCGAATGCAATACAAGTGCGATGCTGATGCTATGACCCCTCCACCCTCGTATCGTCCTCCACCTCCCCTCCCCAACCCGCTCACACCTCCGCCTTGGCGTTTGCCCTCCCTCCCCCAGCGATCTGACTCGGTCAGGCTTTGCCAGCAACGCTGGCCACGGGTGTCGTTCTCTCCGCACCCATCATCGACTCGACATCACCATGGCTCATACCGACCTTTTAACGCAACATCACTCTTGCCACATATTGCCACTGTAGCTGTGCACGCTCCCCCTGGTGTCGTGACTGGTCAATCGATCCGTCGGCCTACCACCCCGATTCTTCCGCGTGCGTCCTCCGGTTCTGGACAACACGCCAATTTCAAAATCCTGCCACTCATTGACACCGCAGCGACCAGGTGGGAACGAACACGGCCTCCACCCAAAACAGTGCGCTCAGGAGCAGTGCGGGCAGCCTTGAGGTAGACCCGCAGAGAATACCTCGCCTCGCTCCCGTCGACGGACAGCGCGTAGATGCGCCACAGGCCGCCTGCGGGCAGCGCCAGCTCGCCCCACAGGCAGCGCCTGCTCCCCTCCTTCTGCAGCGCGAGCTCCCCGTTGGGGCCTGGACCCGGGGAGCGCTGCCATGGCCGAGGGATAGGGGAGAGACGGCAGAGGACGAGGAGCGCGGAACGGACGAGGAGGATGGGGGTGCCAGGGGGAGAAAGGCAGGGGGGGGCCCAGACCGACTATGCAGAGCTGGAGCTTGGAGTACGACGTGTCCTTGTAGTTCAGGCCATCCTCCTTCCGCTTGTAGAACCTGGCCGCGTGGAGGACTGCGGCACGCGAAAGGGTACAGAGACAAAGAGACGAGGAAGCGGACTGCGGAGAGTGCGCTCCTCCTCGCGATTCTCCCCAGGCAGTGCTTGCACTCAGGGGTTCTACTACTTGTGTCACGTGAGTGCTCTTATGAGTCTGCTGGGGTTTCGCCCAATGCCCGCCCGTGCAGGGTTTCCCCCCAGGCCGCAGGCGACACGAGGAGGAGGAGGAGGAGGAGGAGGAGGAGGAGGAGGAGGAGGAGGAGGAGGAGGGGGGAGGAGGAGGGGAGGAGGAGGAGGAGGAGGAGGGAGGAGGCGGAGGAGGGGAGGAGGAGGAGGAGGAGGAGGAGGAGGAGGAGGAGAAGGAGGAGGAGGGGAGGAGGAGGAGAAGAAGGGAGGAGGAGGAGGAGGAGGGAGGAGGAGGAGGAGGAGGGAGGAGGAGGAGAAGGATGAGGAGGAAGAGGATGGAGGGAGGAGGGAGGAGGAGGAGGAGGGAGGGAGGAGGAGAGGAGGAGAGGAGGAGGAGGAGAAGGAGGGAGGAGGAGGAGGAGGACGGGAGGAGGAGGAGGGGAGGAGGAGGAGGAGGAGGGGAGGAGAGGAGGAGGAGGAGGAGGAGGAGGACGGGTCGCCTAAGCCCTTCGGAGAAACCCTCCACACGCCCGTGCCCACCCGCCGGCGCCTCGTGGGCGCCCCGCACGCCGGGTCTGCCGGGGTTTCGCTCGGTGCCCCTCCGTGGCCGCCCGGTTGGCGCCCTCGGGGGCGCCCCTGGCGCCGGGCGCACCACCCTGCGTGTGTGCTTCGTCCCCTTTGTGTGTGTGTGTGTTTCGTCCCCCTCTGTGTTTTTTGTGTGTGGATACACGCCCCGGTCGGAAGAAGTGGGTAGAAACATGAAGTAGGAAGGCGTTGGAGGTAGATTGGGCTTCCGCCCGCCCCCTGAAGAGGAGGAAAGAAGGAAGGCCGCTCGGCTCTTGAAGTGGGAAGGCGCCTAAAGCAGATTAGGATTTGGGCATACAAGAGTGCATACTTTCAACGACCGGCGTGTGAGTTCCGAGATAGGGCCTTCGGACCTCCCGAGGTTAGTGTCGGCCTCCCTATTCCTCTTGCTCTCTCATTGAAGATGGTATCACGCAGCTTGCATCCCACAGCGTGTACCGCACTTACATACACATTTACATTACACCAGGGAAACCCCAATCAGTGGATGGTTTCATCGATAAGGAGATCGACCGGGAACCCGGGAACCTGGAACCCACCGAAATCGGCCCGGAACCAATAACCAGGAACCCGGGACCCCGAAACGGGGAACCCGGGAACCCAGCCGGCCACCAAAATCGGCGGGAAACTTTCGCCAAATCTTTCGATTTCCGCTAGGACCCCTTCAGTGCAAGCACTGATTGGGGAATGAACGCATATATTAGGACCATCGTGCGCGCGCTTTGCGCGCCCTCTGGTTCCAGCGCAGGCCGGGGGGGGGCCATCGACACCAGTACCTGGTGAACGCGTGGGCTATCTGTGAGCGCTGCTCTCTCGGTGGCTGCGATCATTCTCCGACGTGGGGCCGCGTGTTTGGGGCGGTGGCATGGTGTTTCTGCCAGGAAGCGCGAAGGTATGGTATGGCCGTCATGGTGGCGGTTCCCAGCCACTGCGATCCGTGTCGGGTTAAGGCATTGCTCCTGGGGGCCGCAGTGGCGGCGTGTTTCGCAGTCGTGATTGCCTGTGCATGCCACGCGTTCCTTCTGCGAAGCTGTCGTGCCGACCTTCGGCTCCCTTCGGGAGCGTTCGAGTGGCAGTGGTGGGGCAGACCCCGAGCAACTCTCTCTCTTCCACTGGGGTGCGGGCCTGTGGTGTTGGGCGGAGGGGTTGGTGTCGCGCCATCCCAGGGACTCGACCATGTTCCCGAAGGACTAGGTGTGAACGCTCGAGGTGGTGTCATCATGGAGGGCCCTGGATTCGGTGACGAGGACTTTCGGGGAGTTCGGCGTCCAGGAGTGCATTGAAGCATCGGCCTACTGTTTGGCTGGAGCGAGCGGGGGAGGGATAGAAACGCAGACGCAAATTCGACCCCACGACCGGATGAGTTGACTGACAGGCTGATCGAAATCCGATCCGCCTGTCAGTCTTGTCTTGACGGACAGAGGCGCGTACACCCCTTCGACGCCCTTCCTGTCTTGACGCACAGAGGTGCCTGCACCCCTGGATGCCCCCCCCTGCTGCTCTCTGGGGGGTCCCTATCGACCAGACCCCCCAGACACTCTCGAGATCGGATGCTCCTCGTGAGGGTTTGAAATCGGGCCGCGCGCACCAGGCGGGCAGGTTCCTCCAAGGGAGGCGCTCGGATGGCGGGGCGCGGCCTGGCTCGGTGGGCACACGGCGCCCTGGGCGCCATAGTGGGGCGCCAAGGGCACGAGGCCTGAGCCTGGGGAAACCAAACGGTATACCGGTACCGCTGCTCCCCGGGCCCTTCCCAGGAGGCGCCCTGACCAGAACATCGAGGCGAATCCGGCCGTGGCGAAGAAGGGCCACCCCCAGGAAGCCCCAAAGGGGGACACGAGGAAAGGGTGCGCAGCGGCGTGGGTGCAGTCGAACCTAGGCCAGCAGAACATCCCTCAAGAACATGAGACCCTCCGTCGGCCAAAACACACAGAGCATCCAAGTGTACCCTCCCCAGGATGCACAGGAACATCCAACAAGCACGAAGAATATTGGGCCCCCCCCCGAAGCGACATCGATCTTGCACCTCGGTCCGGATGTACCTCTTCCTCTTTTGGGAGCCTTTCGTGGATCCGTGGGCACCGTCGGGGGTGTGCAGAGGATGGCAGAGGCTGAGGGAGGTGGGCGCAGGGAAAGAGCGAGGCTCGCACGGCGGCCAGAGATGGGCCTAGCGTCGGCCCACGGCGGCACACGCGCACAATGGCCTCCCAGCAAGCTCCCCCTGAAGTCTGAGGCGAAGCCAGGACGAGGATAAGTTCGGGTGTGGGATCGAGAACCTCTCAGATCCGGCGGCTCTGAAGGATGTCTCGGGCGCGGCGGCCTGCCCAGCGCGTTCCTGGAACGCTCTGAGAGCGTGCCAGAGCGCTCTGGAACGGATGTCGTCCTCGTCCTAACTCCATCCGGAAATCCCTCTCCATCCCCTAAAGATTTCCCAGAGCCGTCTTCATCGCTGTTCCCAAGAGGACTTCCGGGAATGACATGCCAACCCTCCAACCAGAAGGTCTCCCTCAATACTCTCCGAACCCCCAAGCACCCCCGACTTTCCATGGAAGACTTCGAAGAGCGTCTTCATCGATGCGGCCCCGAGATGGCCTGAGAGATCCAAAGACGGCCCAGACGGGCCAGACGGGCGTTCTCGTTGCCCTGGCTGGGTCCCGTCAAATCTCGAGCCGGCACGCACCCCAAGAGGCCCGAGGGCTCATGCTGAAGGGATTCGGCTCCAGATCTGTGGATAAAAACATGCCGTGATTTGGCTCCGGGGGGGGGGTCTGGGCAACGATTCTCAGCGGATGCAGACGAGGAGGCAGAATCCCGCAGCCCGCGAGCGAGCCGGCCCTGGAGCGCCAAGGCGGATGCGGAGGGCTTTCGGAGCACCTCTCGGGGCGACACGGCGGCTGGCTAGACCTTTCTGGAGGCATCAAGGACTGAATCGGGGCGCTCTCGGGGAACCTTGGGACCCCCTTGGAGCGTGTCCTTGTCCTCCTCCTCCTCCAGCTCTTCCTATCCTCCTCTCTCCCTCCTCACTCACCTCCGCGGCCGTCCTACCCCGTCCCTTCCCCTGCCCGCCCGCAGCCTCCTCCTTCCTTCGCCCTTCCTCCTCCGTCCTCGCGATCCTCCCCGCCCTGCGCTGGAGGCCTCGGGGGAAGACGCACTGACCCAGAAGGCTTCGAGGGGGTCCTCGGGGCTGCTGCAGGGCGTCCAGGGGGGCTGTTCAGGACCTCGGGGGGGGAGGCTGGGGAGGCGAGGCGAGGCGAGGCGCCGGTCAGTCGTCCCGCCCGACGAGACCCCGGACCCCGGCGGTGGCGCCGGAGCGCCGAGAAGCATGCTGATCGAGGGGGGGAGGAGGGAGGAGGGTGGGACTCGGGCCTCGGTGCGGGGGCTTTGCGCAGAGTCCCCAACATGGACGTGGGCCAGGCCTTTCGGCTCCAATGCCGGCCAGGCTTCCCTGTCTGTCGCAGTCTTGTGGCCGTCGCCGCCGTCGTGCGTGTTGTGCGCAGGAAGCTGTGTCAAAGAGGCCGTCCCGGGACCCTCGAGGCAGGCGGGCGGGTGAGGTCCGAAGGCAACGGAGAGAGGGAGCTCAGGAGGGGGGCCTGCTGGAAGGTCGGGGGGCGGTGTCTGCCGCCGTAGGGTCGGGGCGCTGACCCAAGGAACCCTGAACAAGGAACGGGCTCCCCTTTTTCAATGAGGATGACCCAAGGCCAGCTATAAACCAACTAAGGAACACGGAGCCCCTCCCAAACGAAAAGGGTTCCTTCTTCAGGCGCGGCGCTGGCCGTCGTCTGGGTCGTGCGTCCGAGACTCCAAGGGGAGGCCACCTCGGGCCGCATGCGGGGTCGCAGGGGGCTTTGGGAGGCAACGTGGCGAATCCGCGGGGGATCCATCCAGCGCTCGGGGCGCCCACGAGACGCCTCCGAGGCGCCCACGAGGCGGCACGGGCGGCAACGTAGCGAAAACCCCGTGAACCAATCCAGCTCCCTCAAACAACACAGGTAAGAACCTCCAAGTGCAAGCACTGCTTGGGGAATGAGGGACCTGAAAGTGTCGCTCCGGGGGTTACGCTCCATCACGCGAATGGCGTGACCCATGACGTTGTATGGGAACCCGTGCGCCTAACGGGGGCAGGTGCTTCTTACGTTGAGGGCCTTGGATAAGGAACCATGGGATATTGAATCCACGGTCTGGAAGCCGATGGAACTCCAATCGTGGATTGGCCATGCGTATGACCGCCGCCCTCATCTGATAAGGAATGCCCCCAAGAGTCTGAAGCATCCTGAGCGCATCCCTTAATCGACACTCCCACCGTAGTGTTAGGTGGGGCCTGTCCCCCTACAGGCGGATTTTGGGCGAAAAATAAAAGATATGCAAAAACTAGAAGATACTAAAAGAAATGTCCCCCGAGTATTTGTACTATTTTTGAATTTTCCTCCTGTAGTGGGACACGCCCGGCTTAACCGCAGTCCATCTGCCGGAGCGCGCTCCCTCACGACGGGCACGCACTGCGACGCCCCGTGTTGAGGCTGCCATCATGCGCGCACCGGTCGTCCACGGATGTTTGTTCCGTGTCGGTGCGGAGGAGCTGGGCGGTGCCTCTCCTGCCCAGCCGCATTCCTGCCCTCCGTCCTCTTCCCCAGCACGGTCCCCCCAGTCCTGCCCCGAGGGACGGGGCCGTCCGACGGAGACGGGGCGTGAGGAGAAGGCAAGATGAGAGGGCACGAGGAGACGCACGGAGGCGACAGAGGCAGGAACAGGCGGGAAAGGGGACGCCAACCATCAGGAGGAGGAAAACAATTACTCCGACGGAAGAACCCCACATAAGAATCCTCTGGGCGAATCTGGAAAAAACCATCACCGTCGTCCTCGTGGTTGGTGAGGCGTCCTGGCTGTCTCTTCTGCGTATATTTCCTGTCGCCTTGGCGCGGGCCCCCCTTCCACTCCTTACGTTGTCCCCATCCTCGCCCCCCTGTTTGTTCCGCGCCCCGCCACCTCCTCCCCTTCCTGTTGCATGAGCGCGCATGTCGATGTTCCTCGGCGCCGTCGCCGCCACGGCCAGCACAGGCGCGTTCTCTACTGGTCACGTCGCGCAGCCGTTGGGACAACCCCGCGGGCCAGGCTGTCGGGACAACCCCGCGAGCCGTTGGCGCGCAAGACCAAGCCGTTGGGACAACCCCGCGGGCTTCGAGCGAGGCGCAGCCGCGCTCAGGCGGAAGGCAGCACGAAGCCCAGCTCTGCCGCGAGCTGCTTCGCCTCCGCCCTGGACAAAACCGCCTGAGACTTCCTCCATATTCAGGCTTGAGGAGCCCAAAAGTGACGACAGTTACAGGATTCCGATGACCCGCTCGGATTACCAACATGATCTGCGGGCCCCATAGGGAGGGAGCTCCCGCCTGAGACTTCCTCCCAATTCACTCAGAGACGAGGCTCCCGCCTGAGACTTCCTCCATTTTCAGGCCTGGGGAGCTCAAAAGTGACGACAGTTACAGGTTCCGATGACCCGCTCGGATTACCAACATGATCTGCGGGCCCCATAGGGAGGGGGCTCCCGCCTGAGACTTCCTCAGAATTCACTCACAGACGAGGCTCCCGCCTGAGACTTCCTCCAAATTCAGGCTTGAGGAGCCCAAAAGTGACGACAGTTACAGGATTCCGATGACCCGCTCGGATTACCAACATGATCTGCGGGCCCCATAGGGAGGGAGCTCCCGCCTGAGACTTCCTCCCAATTCACTCACAGACGAGGCTCCCGCCTGAGACTTCCTCCATTTTCAGGCCTGGGGAGCTCAAAAGTGACGACAGTTATAGGATTCCGATGACCCGCTCGGATTACCAACATGATCTGCGGGCCCCATAGGGAGGGGGCTCCCGCCTGAGACTTCCTCACAATTTACTCACAGACGAGGCTCCCGCCTGAGACTTCCTCCAAATTCAGGCTTGAGGAGCCCAAAAGTGACGACAGTTACAAGGTTCCGATGACCCGCTCGGATTACCAACATGATCTGCGGGCCCCATAGGGAGGGAGCTCCCGCCTGAGACTTCCTCCCAATTCACTCACAGACGAGGCTCCCGCCTGAGACTTCCTCCAAATTCAGGCCTGGGGAACTCAAAAGTGACGACAGTTACAAGATTCCGATGACCCGCTCGGATTACCAACATGATCTGCGGGCCCCATAGGGAGGGGGCTCCCGCCTGAGACTTCCTCACAATTTACTCAACGATGATGAGGATGAGGATGATGAGTGGTGGTGAAGATGAGTGGTGAAGAGGATGATGATTGATTGTGAGTGGTGGTGGCGATGATGATGTTTGAATGAGGATGATGCCGATGCCGATGATGATGATGATGATGATGATGATGATGTTCATGAGCGTGTGAGAGAGTGCGAGTGATGATGATGATGAGTATGTGAGTGACTAAGCATGTGAGAGAGCATCATCGATGATGCTGATGAGGTTGATGATGAGAGAGTGTGAGTGAGTGTGAGTGGGTGTGTGTGTGTGTGTTCCTGTTCCTGCGCGGGGTGTCCAGAGAAAACAAGAACCCCACTTTGGATGTGGGGAAAAAAGGAGGAGTAGGAGGCAAGAGGAGGCAGGAGGAGACAGGAAGCAGGAGGAGGGGATGGGAGGGGAGAGGAGGGGACCCATGCAAGCACGCACCAACGAGCCATAATGAGCCCAGTATTTCGGAAGATTAGGAATAAAAAAAGGAGGAAGGATGAGGAGAAGGAGAAGAAGATGGAAAAGGGGGGGAGGGGCAGATGGGGAGGAGAAGGAGAAGACCAGTGCGAGCAACATGCGTCATGTCCCCGTCTTCGTCGCGCCCGCTGGTCTTTCGGCCCGTCGCTGGGGCAGGGCCAGGGAGCAGCTCGCGCCTGCGCCTCATCATCGAGTTGGCCTGCATCAACATGACCACGGCTGTCATGGAGCCCTGGCGCGGAATGCTGGTGCCCTCTGACTTGGTCTCAGCTGGCCTTGGCCCCCCTTTCGTCCAACTGCAACCGATGGCTGTGAACAGTGCTTGCGCTCGGAGCTCGTGCTTCCAATCGTCAGAATTGCCAGAAAGAGGAAAAGAGAAAGAGAGAGAGAGAGAGAGACAGACAAAGATAGAGCGAGAGAGAAAGAGGGGGACTCAGAATGAGGCCAACGCTGGCGATCCACAGTGGAAGCTGCTACTCCGAAACTTTTGTGCAAAGATCCCCCCGAACGGCAAATGCGTCGTCCAGGAACGGCCCAGGCAGAATCCGCCTTAGTCATGCGTCGGCTCCTTCTCTAAAGCAGGCCACAAGCGCGCAGCCAGGTCAGCCAAAGTTATAACACAGGTCAGCACTGTAACCCAGGTCGGCCTGAGGTCTGACTGAGGTCAGCGCTATGGCCCATGTCAGCAAAAGGCCACGCCTCGAACCCAGGCCAAACAGGAAGCAGCCCCCATAATCAACCCAGGCCGGCCAGGGGGGATTGGCTGATCCCCGTAAGCGCTGACCCCCCTTGTGTACGCCCCGATCAATCCAGCCTCTCTTCGGGCCACATCTCGGGCCCCGCGCGGCCGTTTGGGACGATTCCGGCGCCCTCTGACCGCCCTCGACGAGGCGCAGCTGATGGAACGGATGAACACATGACAGCATAAACATAAACCTTCGGAGGTCTGCTCGGAGCTTCGAAGATTCTACAGCTGCTTCTTTGTCGACTGAAATCGACTACGCGTAGGAGTGACCCTACGTAGGCTAGAGTGACCTTTGGTGCGCGGCTTCAGGGGCGCCCGTGGGGGCCCAACGCAATTGCGCAAGCCGGCGTTGCCGCGCCGCATCAACGATCGGCGGGGCGCCACTCAAAAGATTTGTTTTGTGCCCAGCGGGCAACCGCGGAATTCCGCCGATTGAAGACGAGCGACCCAAATGGAATTCCGAAGGCGCTGCCAAAGCAGACGCTGCCGGGGGCCACCGCGATGAGGTCTGGCACTGCCGGGCTGCATCGCGATGACGTCTGACCAGGCCCGGCGTCATGGCCAAAGCCAGCCGCATCCGAGAGCCTGGAATATGTTTGAATATCTTCGGTTAACTAATAATAAGAAAAGATCCCCATTGGCTTGAGAAAAACATATTCTAACATATTCAAATATATCAAAAAATGTTTCAAACCAGACGTATTGGGATTTGGGCTGGGATTCGGGACTGGTCCTGGGCCAGAAAACGGGCCGTCTGGTCGACCGGCTCCCCCTCGAGTAAACAATGCAAACTGTAGGGTGCGACGCGTATGCGTTGCTGTCGATTGCGACGGGTGGGCCCAAACCTGGCGCGCTCAGATGCGGGCGTAATCACGCGATGCGGGTGCCGACGCGAGGTCAAGCTCATTCCACAAGAAAAATCACCCGACCCCGTTTGGGCCAGCACCAGAGGTTACTCTGGCGAAAGGTCACCCTCACGTGGATGAAAGGTCTCCAAAAAGCCTCCGCGAACTTACTTGCAGAACGCACTGGCCCCCGAGGCGCCGCGGACGACGACGCCGGCCAGGGGGCACCGCCGAAAGCCTCCGACAGCTTCAGAAGATCAAGGAGGACTACCGAAAAGAGGGGATCTACTCCCGCAGGCCGGCCAGAACGCAGCGTGGAGACGTCTCAAAACGACGGGGGTGCGTTCTGACTAGAATCTCGAGGCGAATCCAGCGTTGGCGACGACGGAGGCCAAGGAGGCTCAAAAAAAGGGGACACGCGGCAAGGGCAGAGGTATATGGGTACCTGCTCCCTCCTCTGAAGAGAGAGGGCAGCGGTGTCCACACACGAAGTACTGCGAGAACCCTCCGAAGCCGACCGGCGCCAAACCTGCTGCCGACGACCCGTGTTCCTTCATCTCCTCCTCCTCCTCCTCCTCCTCCTTCTCCTCTTCCTCCTCCTCCTCCTCTTCCTCATCCTCCTTCACCTCCTTCACCTCCTCCTCCTCCTCCTCCTCCTCCTCCTCCTCCTCCTCCTCCTCCTCCTCCTCCTCCTCCTCCTCTTACTCCCTTCTGTCATGCGCGAACCTGCAGGGCCTGGCCTCCCGGGCGGCGGCGGCGGCGGCGGCGGCCAGGGCCGCTGCCCATGGCGGGGTGCCTCGCCGCCGGGAGCGCCCACGAGGTCGAAGCGGGCCACGGGCCGGGTGTTCAGCCGCACGGCCTCGGAGGGAAAGAGGCCCTCGCGGCGGCCGCCAGGGAGCCTCGGCCGAGGGAAGGTCGGGGGCTCCTCCTCCTCCTCCTCCTCCTCCTCCTCATCCTCGGCCTCGGCCTCGTGCTCGTCCTCGTCTTGCCCTCCTCCTCTTCCTCCTCCTCCTCCTCCTCCTCCTCCTCCTCCTCCTGGCAGCGGTATACGAGCAGCTGTGGGACCAATTTTGAGTTCGCACGCTGCTTTGGCGACTCCAACTGACAGTCACCACGGGGTACCGACAAAGATCTTGTCATGATCGTCTCGGTCTTGTACACTACGCTACGCCACCCCCGATCGGCCCGAAAGCAGTGCCAATGTAGAACTCGGGGGGGGGATGTTGTTGGCCCGTGCCCCCGCCACCCGGGCAGTTACGCGATCGTCTGACAACGTCTTGTACACTGCTACTCTTAATGCTTCGAAATGCGCAACTGCCCGTAATTGTTAGTTTCGATTCCAGAGTGGCGCGATGGGGCGGACAAATCATGCCCCCCCAAAAACGCAAACGCGCATTCAGCACCGAATGCCACGGAGACGCGCGAGCACCATTGGATATCCGAAGCAACTGATGCATGCTCAAGTGGTTGGTTTCCCGACCATGCGCGCGGCACGCGTGCGACACGGACTCGGCGTGTCTCATCCAAACGTCTTCTACCAAACTCGGCTGACAGTGCGCGGCTTCCCGTTATTGTCTGGTTTGTTGTCCGCCACTGCCTGGGATATTTGCCACGAGCTTGTGTGAATAGGCTTTGTTTGGTGCGTGCGTGGGGGCAGAATGTGAGGTCGAAATATCGTCTCAAATGCGCGCGATGGTATGACTAGGTCAGCTCTTGTTGGACGGCCTCGCCGAAACCCGGCTTAGGGCGATGATTCGCCGCGCGGTGGAGCGGGTCCCCACTGTCACCCCCGGGGGTGGCGTAACGGCCTGCTGCAGAGCGTGTTTCCCATGCCGCCACGCTGCGGAACGGGGCCCACTCACGTCACCACCAGAATGGCGATCCTCTCTGCAGTGGAGCAGGCGGTGAGACACGCAGCATGACTCATCACCTGTGAAGACAGGCGGCAAGACGGCGACTACCACGAAACTTTGTGGGCCCCAGAAACGGCAGGGCGATTTTTTTCACCGTTTCCACAAAAATGTCCCTTGGAAATGGAAACGGCAAAAAAAGGCGACCGGAAACGGCAACAAAAACGGCTCAGGATTGGAACCGGAGCCGGAACCGGTAAAAAAACGGCGACGGAACCGGTAAAAGAACGGCGTCGGAACCAGCAAAAAAACGGCAGAACGGAACCGGTAAAAAAACGGCCCTGTCGTTGCCAGGGCCCACTAAGGTCTCGGGGCATGCTGACTATACAGACCTTCCACCAGTACCAGGTGCCGACGTGCGTCCCTGCGCGGACCCGGTGACCATCCGGGAGAGCCGGAGGAGCCCCTGTGCCCCCTCCGACTCGACGGGGTCGTGGTTACACCCTCAAGGGGATTTGCAATGCACTACGAACTACGATCCTCCTCCTCCTCCTCGCTGTCGTCGGCATCGCAGTCATCATCCTCGTCATCGCCCTCCCGATCCTCCTCGTCCGCCCCCGCCACAATCTTCTCCCCCCACTCCCTCCCCCTCCCTGCCCACCCTCCCTGCCCCTCCCTCTCCTCCTCCTGCCCCTCCCGGTGCTCCTCGTCCTCGCCGCGCCGCACGAGGGCGCCAGTGCGCCAAGAGTTGAGCAGATCGGCCCCCGAGGCCCCGCAACATCGCGCCTCGAGGGGGGGACCGAGGACGGGTGCCTCGGAAGAGGGAGGGGGGATACAGAGAGAGTGCCCAAACAGCCATCGCATCCACGCTCCTCGAGCTCCCCTCCTGCTGCTGCTGCTCCACCTCCGCTGGCCCCTCCGAAGCAGAAGAGCAGTCCGAGGGCCTCCGAGGGCCCCATGAGATCGTGAAAACGCATTCCCCCTCCCCCCTCCCAGAGACCTACGCAAGCCTCTGGAAACCCTTCAGACATGTCACATGACTCCGGGAGATTCCTCCTCCTCCTCCTCCTCCTCCTCCTCCTCCTGCGCCTCTTCCTTGCTGCGTCCGTCCGTCGTTGATGGCCCGCCTCATGTCCTTCTCCTCTGTGCAGTAGGGCCCGAACTCACGAGTGAAAGCAGAACCTCTCGAGCGGACAGCAGAGGAGGTAGACTGAAAGGGAACGAACGAACGAACCACAAGTGCGGACAAGTAAGTGTCCGGGCCTCGTGAGACCAGGTGGGTGAGGCCTTAGCCTCGAGGTACTGCAGTATGTGTGCGCTGAGACGTGCACGCGAGACATATGGAAGGTTACGCGGGCCCAGGGAGGTGCTCTCCCCAGGGCGCACAAGAACATACAACACCCAAGAAGAACGCCAGGGCACCCTCCCCGAACCGGCCTCGATCTTATACCTCGGTCCGGCTGCACTCGCTCGCCCCCCCCCCCGGTATGAGAACCATCCCGCTGACGCTGCGTCCCCAACCGCCCGCGCACACCGGAGCACCCGCGAGGGACCACGGGCACGCGGCCTCCCGCTCCACCAATCCGAGGCGCAGGAGGTCACCGTGATGACGTCCCCCTCCGAGAAGCTCAGCTCGTCGCGCTGGCGGGGGGGAGGGGAGTCTCACCCTCCTCCAGCAATGTGGCTCACAATCGCGCTGATCACATGCGGACTGCGCAGGCTGGTCTGCATTCGGACGTATGCCGACAGCGCTCGGACCGGAGGCGGGGAATCCCCAGTAGGGGGGGCAGGCTTAGACGAGCCGCACGAGAAGAAAATGCAAACGCGCTGGGACGTCGTTCGGCCGGCTAACAATGCCGGGGGGCAAAACCCGAGTGCATACGGAGCTGAAGAAGGAACACGAAGGACGCGATGAGGAACGACAAGAGAGACAGAGCGGGAGAAACGAGTGCTCAACACCGTCCAAACAAGAGCGTGCAGCCGCAGAAGGAAGGCGAAGGACACGACGACGGTGACGAGGAAGCAGGAAGCGAGGGCCGAAGCCAACAGAGCAACGGAAACACAGAGGCGGCCAAGCCGATCAGGGAAGGACGAAGGACACGAAGATGACGAACAAGAGGGACGAGGAAGTGCCAAAAGCGAAGTGCAGCACACCCCCAAACGGGTGCAAACACGGTAGGAAGGAGAACGAAGGGCACGACGAAGGGACAATCACCCACACACACACACACGCGCACATGTTAACCCCCCCACATGCCGATGACGATAGTGAGCGGGCGACGATCATCCACACACCCACGCACGCACGCGCGCGCGCGTAAAGTGCATGTGAACTGTCAGGCTGAAGAGTGCAACAAAGCTGGTACAGCATGCGCTGCGACGCTCAATAACACATGATGCATATGTCACGCCGTAGGTAGGCGTGTAACTGGGGCACACGGAAATGCTCTTCGGGCACCACGTGGCACCCAGGACAAGAGGCCGTGCCTCGCCAATTCGCGCGACTGCCCTTCTTTGACGCGCTCGCGACATCATCACGTCTATGGCTGCACAGCTATGGCTATGCCGGTCTAGCCTAAGCTTCTGGGCTCACACCGTCGGGCGCGGGGATCTGCCAGGGCGGCATTGCGCCTGGCCTGCTCCCACTCCAAAGAATGAAGGATTGCTTGGTCAAACAAGCATCTAGACGCAGAACTAGCCGCCAGCCTCGAGACCCATCGGCTGGACGTACCCACACAGACTGTGGACCTCTAAGATGACAAAGTCCCGCCGAACCGTTCTGCTCCTCCATCTTCTTTAGGAAGAGGAGAAAGAGGAGGAGAAGGAGGAGGAGGAGGATTCTTCCCCATCATCCTGTGTTGCTGGGCCCTGGTTTTGAATCAGCAGCGCTCCACGTCCCTCCCTCCGTTCTCCTCCTCCTCCCTCCTCATATTTCGGCACGCCCCTCCTCCTCCTCCTCCTCCTCCTCCTCCTCCCCTCCTCCTCCTCCTCCCTCCCTCCCTCCCTCCCTCCCTCCCTCCCTCCCTCCGTCCTCCTCCTCCTCCCTAAAATTTCGGCACGCCCCTCCTCCTCCCTCCCTCCTCCTCCCTCCTCCTCCCTCCTCCTCCTCCCTCCTCACATTTCGGCACGCCCCTCCCTCCGTCCTCCACCTCCTCCCTCTCCTCCTCCTCCTCCTCCTCCTCCTCCTCCTCCTCCTCCTCCTCCTCCTCTTCCACCTTCTCCTTCTCCTCCTCCTCCTCCCTCCTCCGTGGCCCCATGGGGAGCTCCACTGGGAGGGTCCGCATTGCGCCACCGGGCCCACTTCGGCACAGCACTCACACGTTTGGTGGCCCCCCTCCTTCGTTACACCTGCCTCGCGCAACTCGCAGCTGCAAACGGCTGGGTCCCTGGCCATGAGCATGTCGCATCGTCCCTCCTCCTCCTCCTCCTCCTCGTCTTCCCCGTCCCTTGTCAAGCTGCAAGGGCAAGGGCCATGGACCCACCCTACCACCTAGGAGCTTCCAAACCAACCCTCAGAAACTCTATGTGTTCAGTGCGGTCAGGTGGGTATTGTTGGTAGCGAAATGTTTGACCGCATGTGAAGTTACCGAAGGCGCGTGCGCACGCACGCACGCCGCGCTCAGGATGGGCCTTGGGCTCGGGCTCGGCTTCCAGCTCGCGCTCGGGCTCGGGAACGGGGTCGGGCTCGCGCTCGGGCTCGGGCTCGAGCTCGCGCCCGAGCTTGCGCGCACGAGCGCGCACACGCGCACGCATACGCACTGCCCCCATTGGAGAGCCAGGCGTGACTACAAAGCGCAACTGCGATTGCTCCGATTGGTCGGCTCCAGCGCCCAATGTTCACAACGGACTGTCGTTCCAGCAGATTATGCCGTCAAGAAGGGTGGGCTCCAGCACCCAATTCTCACGAGCGACACTGGCTCCAGCAGCCGCAGTCGTGGGTTCCATCACCCGGATGTTCACTCGGGAAAGGGGCTCCAGCAGATTATGCGGCCAAGAAGGGTGGGTTCCAGCACCCAGCTGTCACGAGGGACAATGACACCAGCAGCCCGCGGCGTGGGTTCCAGGACCAGATTATGACGAGGGAACATAGCTCCAGCAGGGTCTGCCGCCAAGGGGGGCGGGCTCCAGTACCTCATTTCACTAGGGACAATGGTTCCAGCAGCCAGCGGCGTGGGCTCCAGCACCGAATTTTCACGAGGGAAAATCGTCCCTGCAAAGCATGCCGACAAGAGCAGCCCTGTCGTCTGAAAGGGCAACTAGGACAACCCGCGCCCCAACCACGAACCCTCGCACAGTCCACCAAGCATCGCACCAGCAAGAGATTCACCTAATTGTAGTGGGTCACGAGTGGAGAAAGAGAAATACAGTATATTAACCAAGAGGCGCGGGTGGGATACCCAAGTGAAGCGAAGATCCCCCTCCACCAGAATATCGGTTCCGGTTTCGGCTCGGTGCGCATCGTGCTGCAAGCCGCGTCAAACTTGCCAGCACCCGCTCTTCTCCCTCAATTCCGCTCACCACCACCCCGCCCCTGCATCTTACTACCCCTGCTGATGACCCAGGCAGCGAACATCTCCTACTCTATGAACGCGGCGGGGTCCAACCAACGATTCGCGGCAGGCACGTGTTGGCGGCGCGGAGAAGGGGGGGTATTGGAAGGCAAGAGGCTTGTGAGAAGCCGGTCCGCCTTCCCGGGCCAACATCTCGGAGGCCTCCGAGACCCTGCATGAAGCCCCATGCCTTCTCAGACAGCGGTCCACCACCGCCAAGCGCGAGCGGCCGCTCGGTGCCCAGACATCCGGCGGACCCCAGGGGCGGCCTCGGCCCCTTCCCCTGGGGACGGCATCCCCCGCCCTGGACATGTTTCTGGTGGCCCAGGGTGCGTTCTGACTAGAATTTCGAGGCGGACCCAGCCACGGCGACGAGGGCCTCCCAGGGGGGCCACAGAGGCGGGAGCGAGGGAAGGCCGTGGCGGGTTGTCGGTACCCCTTCCTCCCCTGGAAGGCGGCCCCCGGAGGCCGAGACTGTAGCGAGGAACCTGTGGACGCCCGCGGTGGGTGCGGGAAGAGTGGGCACGATGCTCAACAGGGCTGAACCTAAACGGTGTTTTTCGTTTTCGTTGTGTTATCGTTTTCCCTCGCTTTTGTCTCGAATCAGCCTTTACCGCAAAACGAAGTCGAAACGAAAGCGGCCCACGAAATCACCAAAAACACCGTTTAGGTCCAGCCCTGATGCTCAACCAGAGGTGTGGTCCCAAACCGGAAGCGCCCGCTGCGGGGCAAGCAGCAGTCTGTCTCAAAGAGGCAGCGTCCGCGGCTACGCCGACAGCGAGCCCTGCTCAAGAACCGCCGAGCCCTGCTCAAGAACCGCCGTCGGTATTCGTCCCCGTTCTTATGTGGCAGCTTATGTGGCAGCCCATCTTACTGGCTCTTGCGAATCTACGCTAAGCGGCGCGAACCAGCACTTCTCGACACGAAATCGACGCTTCATCGACGCCAAGTTGGCGCTCTTTCATCGACTACCAGACCCCAGCGCACGCTGGTGCCCTACAACATCGGAATGCCGAGGACACACGAGGCCCCGATGAGCGGGAACGGCCAGGTCTGGTTCAAGAGGGGTGACCTCGACGGCTGCTGGGACGCCTCGGGTCGGGCCCGAGGGGGGGATCCTCAGGTCGGGCTAGGAGGCCTTAAGTCCAGCGGAATCAACCTTGTCCACCGAACCTTCCTAGCAGCCTCCGACATTTCGCGGCGCGCAAAGGGGGGTAGGGGGTGGGGGGAAGGCTTCTCAGAAGGAGGCTTCTTAGAGGGCGCGGGCCTTGTCTGTAGCTGCAGGGCCGGCGCCTTCTAAGAAGCAGCCTCCCTCTACGAAGCCTTCCCCCTGCCCCTTACCCCCTTCGGGGAGACGTGAGACTCGTGTTCGAGGGACTCGGGTTGGCCTGAGGGGGCCATCCATGAAAATGACGAGGCCCAATCTGAAATTCGACGCGAAAGCTCCCGGGGCAGACATCCCACGGAACCCGGACCGTCAAGATCCAGGACGCGCTCGTCAAAGAACTTCGGTAAACCCGAGTTCGGGCTTACTCGAGTCTTACGTTTCAGCGACCCCTGTGCGCGCCGCCAAGACATGACCAGACCTCTGGCCGCTCTGATTTTTTCGATTCGTGGCCCCTGGTGGGACCACTTCCCTAGGACCGGTTCTTGATCCTGAGCCGTTTGTTGACAGCCCCGATAGGCCAAGGGAGGGCCCCAGGAGGCCGAAAAAACGGCCCAAAGGAGGACGCCCCACCGCGTTCTGTTCGAAACGTCGGATCGCTGGGCGAGCTGCGGCTGAACATTTTGCTCCTTGCCCATGCCGTTGGGCGCGAATCAGTTAATGGGGGGCGATGCGTGGGGAGAGGAGCTGGGCAGGTGCCCTTCTCGGGCCCTCACGGCTCCCTTCTGGATCCTACAAGCCCCGTCGGGAGCCCTGAAGGAGCCCTTTTCGGCAGCCCTCGCTACCACCCCCTGCATCGCCCCCCCCATTACCTCGCCATCGCTCGGACGTCCATTCCCCGTACATGTTTCGTTCTCGTGCGTGTTTTGCCCCAATCCGTGCTTGCACTGAAGGGGTCCTAGCGGAGATCGAAAGATTTGGCGAAAGTGCCAGGCCGATTTCGGTGGGCGGCCAGGTTCCCAGGTTCCCGGTTCCGAGTTTCCGGGTTCCCGGTTCCGGGTTCTGGGCCGATTTCGGTGAGCGGCGGGGTTCCCGGATTCCCAGGTTCATGGTTGATCTTCTTATCGATCGGTCTCACTATCGATCTCATTACCCACATCTCTATCGACCTCTCGATCGATCTCACCATCGGTCGCACTATCGATCTCACAATCGATCTCATTATAGATCACACGAGCGATCTCACTATCGATCTGACTATCGATCTCAGTGAATCGACTTCACTATCGGCCTCACGATCGACCATACAATCGTCCTCACTGTCGATTACACTATCGATCTCATGATGGATCCCACTATGGCTCCCCATAACCATGTCACTAGTTTTCAAACCATCCACTGATCGAGGTTTTTCTCTTGTGTAATGTTTGTTGCTCGATGCTCCAGGATGCTCCTCGATGGTGCCCTCGCCGAGAACACATGCACGCGCCCGAGCGATGCCGAGCTACGCGCCTTCCGAATGCCCATCGCACCGACAACCGCCGGGACCCAACGCACCACCCCGCCGAAGCCCCCGGAGGCGGCGCACGCAGCCCGCGCGGGGTCTCCGGCGGGCCGGCCGAGCGGCAGCTGCGCCCGGCGGCGCGCGCGGCCCGCGGCGGGCCGGTCAGCGGAGGAGCCGCGCCAGGTAGGAGAAGCAGCCCTCGCGAGCGAGGAGCCCAGAGATCCGAGGATGTGAGTGTTCCACCCGGGCGAAAATCCCCGATCTCGGCTTAGCCGGGGCCCGTTCACACGGACCCCGGGGCCCCTCAGAAAGTGGATCCATGGGATATCCCAGATCCACTTTCTGGATCTGGGACCCCTTCCCCCTTGGGTGGTCTCTCCTCGAGGAGAGACCACCCCGGGGGAAGGGGCCGGATCCTCTGGCGCCGCGGAGGGAGCAAAGCAGATCGGCAGACGCCGGGGAGCGTTCGGCAGCTCCGACGGGTGTATGGCTTATGGCAGCGGGTGCGGCCTCCTGCAGCCCGCGCCCGGTGGGGGCGGGCGCCAAGGACCTCGACGGAGAGATCTCTGCCGCGCCCTCCTGGCGGAGGCTCGGCACGCCTGTGGCGCAGCGCGGTGGCCCCCCCCAGAGCCCCCAGGGGCGCCCAGCGCAAGCCACACCCCGGCCGGACCACACCCCCTGCAGCCGCCGAAACGTCTGGCAGGCTCGTGTCGCGACGACCCCGGCGCTGGCTCCTGGCATCACGTGGAGCGTTCGATCCGGAAGGATCGGCGGCCTCCCGATCGATACAGGTCGGTCAATGTTGGCCGAGTCTGGGCCACTGGCGGGCGTTCCACCTGGAATGCCCGCGCCAGGGTCGTCCCATGCCCTCGCCGTCCCGGTGCCCGGGCCCGGTCCCGTGCGCACGCAATCCCACGGAGACGCTTCGCGCGGGGCATCCGCGCCAAACGGCCCTGGCCTGGCATGCGGAAGAGGGGTCGTGAGCGAAACGGGCCCCGGCTCCCAGGGCTCTTCCCCGGGGTCAGCTTCACATCTTGACGAGCCGCTGGCTGACAAATCTCAAGGGCCCCGGGAGGCCAAAATCAGCGACGAGCCTCGGGACCCAATCCCCTCAGAACTCCTTTCTCGCACTGCTATCTGTCTCCACGGGATCGCGATCTGGGAGCCCAGACAGCGAGGCCGTGGATCGTGGACATGTTCCCCGCCCGTGGACGCCGTGGGAGGGCGGCCCTTCTTCTCGGGCTCCGGGAACTGCGCGGCCTGGAGCCGGGGGCTTCGGCGCGCAGTCGGCCAGGCGGAGGAGGAGGATCGGGAGGGGGAGGAGGGCCTGGAGAGAGCTGCTGGGAGCAAGGGGGTCAGGAGGGGGGGGGACTGTGATCGTGATGATTCAATTCGACGTTGGGCACTTCTCCGACAGGCAGAGGGGGCTGTCATGGTTGCGGACGAGCGCACCGGCATGAACTGAAAGGGCCAGCGCGCTATTCAGTTCGGCAAAACGCTGTCAGCTGTGGCTGCCGCATACACCGCTCAACGAGGAGCTCAGCCTGGCTGAGCACGGGGCCGAATACCTGCTCCTAGTGCACACGAAAAGTACTGCGCATGGGAGCGCGCCGTCTCGTCAGAGGTCTGCGCTGGCTGTGAAGCTGTCGCGACAAGCGAGCAACTGCACAGACGAAAGAGCAACGAATACCAGCGTGGCAAATTAGCAGAGTTGCCCCCGCCCACGATTCTCCTGGAGGCCCGCTCACGATGGCCGCAAGGCTGCTAGCAGTGGACATTGAAGCTGTACAGATCTATAGAGAGGGCAACAGTTGCAAGACAGGAAGGCGACGCACAGTTCCACCACTGCCAGAAAACGTGTCGACTGCTGCTGACAGCGCGTGAAGGGTGAAAGGGGTCACATCCAACGAGACAGAACCCTTGCGAGGAGACATGACGCTAGCCCGCAACTCGGCTAAATATGCGCCTCCCTTTGCGCCCCTGCTTGCGCGGTCGCCCCTCAGGACGAGGCTCTGCAGGTAGCTGGGCTCCTGGCCGAAAAGGAACTCGTCGCTCTTGCCGATGAGCTGCGAGCTCTTATCCGTCCAGGCCAAGTCGACGGCCACAGAGTTCGTTGGCAGCATGCTCGCTGCGTCCTTTTTGCCCTCGGCCATCAACGGGGGTACGGACGCGAAGAGAGAGGGAGAGAGAGAGAGAGAGGGAGGAGGAGGAGGAGGAGGAGGAGGAGGAAGAGGAGGAGGAGGAGGAGGAGGAGGAGGAGGAGGAGGAGGTGGAAGAGGAGGAGGAGGAGGATAAGGAGGAGGACCTCCGGCCAGGGCCTGGCCCTGCGCCTCGATCTGCGCCCTGTCCGCGGTCGCCGTCGCGCCGAGCTTCATCGCCTTGGCGTTACCCCTGGCGGCCGCTTCCGCCTGCAAAGCCTGGGCGCTCGCCACCGCGCCGCAGGCCAGCGGCTTCGTGCGCTCGACGTCGAGCGGGACCGCCGAGAGAACGTTGATGAAAAATATCTCCACGCCGTACGTCATGGCCGTCACGATCGCGTGTGCCACGGATTCGTTCATCCGGCTGACGTCGTACAGCGAATTGTCCATGGTCTTGCTCGTCTTATCTTCAAACACCGGCTCATCTCGGCCTCCAGCAGGTGCACGTGCTTTTCTACCCTGATCACTCGTGGCCATGTGGAAGCTGTCGGAATAGTTGACGCCACGGATGAAACTTGCCAAGGACGCAGTGGCTTGTTTAAGCATGTCCTGATGCAATTTCGGGATCTCAGAAGAGAGACGCTGGGATCCAACCACCATCGTCTCGGCGCCCATTGTAGCAGCCAGCGTCGGGTTCTTGATGCACCAAGCGACTGTGGACGTCACCTGCATGGTGGTGTTATCTGCACTGGTGGCCTTGATCTGCTTCAACCTCAACCTCTGTTTGTATCTTCAACCTCAAGAACTTCTCAAACAGCTTGTGGATTAACAGATGTGTGGCGCCGCCAGGACAAACGTGTCGCTTCCTGTTGTTCTGTGCCACCGCTGCGTAGCCCTCGTCCACGGCGATCAGTGTATAGGGCCCGAGCGACACCATGTGCTGGTCAAGACAGGTGGCCCTCTTGTAGCTCCTTGCATCGGACGTCCAGACGCGTATGCCCGGCGGCAGCAGCACGGGCTGGCCGTTGTCGGAGGCAAGCCCCAGGAAGCCCTGCTCCACCATCAGGATGCACCTGCTCCCGTGCACGAGCGCGTCGTTCGTGGGGAGCTTGTGCGTGCCGCAATGCCTCGTGAAGCGCCCCCCGATGCTGTGCTTGCCGGGCTGCGCGAAGAGGTACTCCTGGTTTTCGTTCATCAGGAGCCCGACACAGCCGGCGGGCACGAAGAACTCGGTGTGGGTAGCATTTAGACCATGCACCCAACCATCGGGCACACAAAGTAACTGAATACGCACTCCTGTAGGAGGTCGTTGGGCCCGGGGGATTTCGCCGAGAGGTCCGCACCATCGAATATGTCCTAGAAACACTGCTTCCGATACTTCGTCACGAGGATACCCGCCTCCTTCACCGTTTTGTAGGCTGGCGTGTCCTCCAAATGAGCCAGCGCCACGTTCGGCTCTGCAACCATTGCCATCATCATTGGCGCGATTTCGGCGATCACGCCTGGCGGTTGTGGCTGCCGCGTCGTCATGGACTGCGCCCCTTCTGAACTTCCAAAACTCGTGGGCAGTGCCTACCTGTCCGCTTGGGCCAGCTTGAGCCGAAATGACTATTGACGGGGGCTGTCCTCGCGATGGTGATGCTGACGATGGTAGGAGTACCGTCTCCTTTCACTGCCCGGCGAACCCTAAGCCAGCAGGCTCAGGGCGCAGAATTCGTACGTGCCCACCTGTCCACCCCCTTGCGCGGGGAGGTAGTAGGAAGAGAATGAAGGAAATGAAGAGGATACAGTGCAACATGCAAGTCTGTGCATGTGTAAGTACGTTTAGGTACATACGTATATTTACATGGCCATGCATGTGTATAGGTATGTGTCACTATATAGGTGTATATATATACATACGTATATACCGCTAGACACAGCCATTGTGCACTGTGAGTCAACATTGACCCGAAACAATGTGTTTCTAACAATCTAGGTTGTGGAGAACATATGAGCATTATAGGTGTGGTGTAGTGTATGTGGTGCAACGTCTGCGGTGCCATCGACGCGGTGCTATCTATGCTATACCATTTAGATGGTGCAACACATGTCGTGCGACCTATGTTGTGCAATCTATGTGGTGCAATCAGTGGTGGAAAAGATGTGTTGCAACATCTGCAGTGGCATCTATGTGGTGCAATGGACGTGGTACAATTGATTTTAAGAAGCGAATTGACACATCCCATGCTCTTGTAAACACCCTACAAACCCACCCGCAACTTGGTTTGCACAAGCCCTGCGGCGGCGATTGCGATGAGTGCTTAACGTTGGCTGGTCAACCTCGGCGGCCGCGCCAACCCAAACACGCGCGCGCAGCGGCCAGCTAGTTTGGCGCGACTGATGCGGCCGCGGTGGCGTTGACCGCCGGGCACATGCCAACGGGCACTTCATTGCGAGTGGGCGACTTGGGCGGGCGCGGTATCATGGCAACGGCGACGACACTAGGCACGATGATGATAGTAGCGATGTTGGTGACGATGTTGGCAACAACGACGGCGCGGCCAGTGCGGGCGCCGATGCTGATCGCGCCGACGACGATGACGGCGTTCACGCGTCGGTGATGAAAGTTTTGGGAAGACTTCGACATGCGCGCGCGGCCGACGCGCGAGAGCAGCCCGCATAATATGATTATGCACGGACCGTGCCCCCCCCACCACCAGCACGAACGCAAGAGCGTGCGAATGATGTCGGCATGCGGCGCGAGACCCCCATTTTGCAGAATTCCAAGAGCGCGGGCGCACGTTTTTTTGACAACTCATGTTGCGAAGCCATGTGTTCTCATATGTTGTTTGGACATTTGGCTGCGAAATCGCTACGGCACCGAAGGTTTCTGACTGATTTCCGCATGCGCGCTACGACGCGCGTGCGTGCACTTCGTTCGATTGTTTCCCAAAAGATTCCCGCGACGGCGCGCGCGAAATCCGTTTGGTAGTATTGTATGAAAATGGTTAAAAACCTACGGTTATTCCTAAGCATTCGCAAAAGAGCGCAAACTGTTGTTCGAAAGCCCGTGTTGCGAAACGCTGTGTTTTAAATGTGGTTTGGGCACTCGATATTGAAATCCCTACAGAAGCCGAAGTTGTCAAATGATTCCGGCACGCGCGCGCGACGACGCGCGCGCGTGCGCTTCGTTTAATTTGTTGTCGAGGACGCTTGAAGAATAGCAACCAATGAATTATGATAGACGTGTGCGCACGCATAATAGTTTTTTGCAAAGGATGGCGGGGGGGGCGATACCGATTGGGCTGGGATGGTATAAACTAATATTTCTGATGGTCGGCGGGGCAAAATAAGATTCAAATTGCAATACGAAACGGGGCAGCGATAACCCCAGGGGGGGGAAGTCTATATTTTAGAGGGAGAATATCTGTGGTGCTTTTATTTTTAACAGACGAATTGACACATCCCACGCGTTTGCAAACATCCTACCCAATCACCCGCAACTTGGTTTGCAAAACCCACGCGGTGGAGATTGCGATGAGTGTTTAACGTTGGCTGGTTCTTCTCTGCGCCCGCGCCAACCCGAACACGCGCGCGCGGCGGCCAGCTAGTTTGGCGCGACCGACGCGGCCGCGGTGGCGCTGACCGCCAGGCACATCCCAGCGAACACTTCACTGCGAGTGGGCGACTTGGGCGGGCGCGGTATCATGGCAACGTCGACAAGGGTAGATACGCTGATGGTAGTAGCGATGCTGGTGACGATGTTGACAACGACGAAGCGGCGGCCAGCGCTGGCGCCGATGCTGATCACGCCGACGACGATGACGGCGTCCTCGCGTCGGTGATGAAAGATGTGGAAAGAATTCGACATGCGCGAGCGGCCGACGCGCGAGAGCGTCGCGCATGGAATGGTTTGACACGGATACAAAAAATCTGTTGCTTGGGCACTCGATTTTGATATACTTACGAAACAATGGGTGTTTGAAGGATTTCGGCATGCGCGCGCGACGACGCGCGCGTGCGCACCTTGTCTCGTTTTCTGTTGCAAGGGATTCTTGAAAACTTATGATTTGTGATCAACGAGTGCGCGCGCATAATATTTTTGGCGTAGGATGGCGGGGGTGGGGCGATACTGGTTCCCCTCAGATGGTACGAACTCAGATTTAGGATGGACGAGGGGGCAGAATTGTCTTTTTAGAAAGGAGAATATATGCGGGCAGTCCGTGCGAGGCGGCGACGGGGCGGCGACAACGACGACGGGGTGGCGACGGCGACAACATAGCCGCCAGACCGGCAAGCAGGCCCAGACGACGGGCGGCGACGAGGCGGCGACGGGGCGGCGACGGCAACTACATAGCCGCCAGACCGGCACGCAGGCTCAGCTCCTTAGAACAGAAGTAAGAATCCCTACGTGTCAGCACTGATTGGGGAATATGCTTATTTTTACATGTATCTATATTCAATACACATATGCACCTCATCTATAAACTAGAACCATCGAGCGCTTCGCGCACGCTCAAGTTCTAGCTAGGCTGGGTGGTCACACTCTTTGGGATCCCTATTCCATGACACTTCTTCTCTGAGGCTTCCGAGAACCACGAAGACGGCCCAAGTGGATTCCAAGAGTTCCTACGGTCCACCCACGACGGCTTAAGACAGGCCCAAAAGGCACTTCGGGGGCCCTTTTATTCGCCGCGGCTGGGCGTAGCCAGAAGAAGAGGGAGGAGAAGGGGAGGTGAAGGGGTTCCCTGGGGGAGAAGGAGAAGGAGGGCGAGGAGGAGTTGGAGAGGGTGGAGGAGGCCGCAGAGGAGGAGGAACCAGAGCATGAGGAAGAGAAGGAGGAGGAAGAGGAGGAAATATGATATTCCCTTTTTGCAAGCGTAGCGAAGCTGCCAGGCGAACTTTAAAAAACATGTTGGAATTCCCGTTCTTCTCAAGTGACCTCGGGGCCACTCTCGGGACTCTTTTGGGCCTCTTTGGGGCTTCTTGGGGACCTCTTGAAGCCTCCTGGGGGCTTCCTGGAGCGAAGATCTCGGGTTCTCGGCTCACGTTCCTGATCCTGGACCGCGGTTGGGGCCGTCTTGGACGTCTCTTCTGAGCTTTTGAAACCTAATGGGCCGTCTTGGGGCGAGCCTCGGAGCCTCTTGGGGCGTTTGGCAGCGTCAGGAAGCGGAACAGGCGGGAAACGCCAAAATTGTTCAAAAATCTACGGAACATAAATGTTGTTTGGCCTCTTCGAGCTCTGTCGGGAGACCTCTTGGAAGCCTCTTGGGTATCTTGGGGGCCGCTTGGGCCGTCTGGAGGCCGTCCGGCTTGCCGGCAGGTGTTGAGGGCATGTTGGGAACCGCATCCCCCGAAACATGGGCCCACGACCCGTTTTGGCAACCCCTTGTAGCCCTCTTGGGCCTCCATTGGACCGTCTTGGGGCCCTCTTGGGCCGTGTTTGGGGCCTCGTAAGCGGTCTTGGAGCCTCCTTGGGCGCCTCCTGGGCCGTCTAAGAGGCTGTCAAGCCTGGACAAGCGAATCTGCTGAAAATGCACGCCTTCCTAAAGGAATGGTGTGACGTTTGCCTCCTGGAGCCCTCGGGGGGCTCCTTGGAGGCCTCGTGGAGGCCTCTTGGGGGCCTCCCTCGGCGCGTCTTCAAACTGTCTTTGGGCGCCTCGGGTGGCGCCAGAGCGCCCCAGACGTAGTGTTGGAGGGTCTTGGGTGCGAGGTGAAGATTCATCCATATCCACCGCCTGGGAACCGACGTCCTGGTGCCCGAGGGGGAGGCGGATATGGATATATGTTGGCCCCCAGGGGCCCGAATATGTCCATATCCACCGCCTGCCGAGGTCCCCGAAAATTGAACCTTCAGGCGGTGGTCATGTATAAATTCCCGCCTCGCATTGGGCAAGCTTGGGGGGGGGTCAGCAGTCCAGGCTCTCTGGGCCCCCACGGGCCGCCGAGGGCCCCCATGCGAACCCGTGGCCGCGGTGCGGCCCCCCTTCCTGGCCAACAAGCACATAGCAATACATGTATATATGTGTGTGTATGTATATGTATCTGTATATGTATATGCATATGTATATGTATATGTTTGTGTATATGTGTATGTGCATACACACCTACATACTTACGTACTTATATACATACATATGCGCATACATACATGCATGCATGCATACAAACATCTACACGTGCGTGTAAATCGATGTAAATGAATACATATGTAGACACGTGTCTGAATATAGACGTGTATGCAAAAAGGAAGTAAGGTATTTGGGGGAAGTTGGGCTGCCAGTCGCAGGCGACGTCGGCCCATCTCGGAAGCAAAAGGGTGGAAAGGGGAACGCCCAGTGTAGATGGATGAGGGAGGAGCGACGCTACAAGCGGAAAGAAGGATGAGAGAAAACCTTCCTTGCCTTGGGGGGGTGTAGAGCGGAGGAACGGAGGAAGGTAAAGGAATGCGACGGGATCACGTAGCAGCCCTATCCGCACTGCCAAGCGGCGCACAGTAACGATATGAAAAGATGGCCGCGCGGGGCCTCCTGGGCGCCTCTCAGGGCCTCTTGGGGACCTCTTAGGGCCTTTGGGGGGCCTCTGCGGGGCCTCTTGAGAGCCTCTCGGAGTCTCTCGGGGGCTTCTCGGGAGCTTGTTGGGGCCTCTTGGCAGGGTCCTGGGGGCCGCTGGGAGGGTCTGAGGGCATGTTGGGAGCTACGCTGGTGGTTCCCTGAAGGCCCTCCAGGGGCTCTCTTAGGCTGTCTTTGGCGTTCCGTGGACCGTCTTGGGACCCTCTTGAGTCGTCTTGGGGCTCTCTGGAAACGTTCTGGGACCCCCTCCGGCGCCTCTTGGGCAGACTTGGACCCTGTTGAGGCCGAAAAAATAAATATGATAAAGATATACGCTTTCCGAAGGGGGGGTGAAACGGCCTCTTCCGTGAGCCTCTTGGCGCTTTTTGAGTCCGTCTTGGGGCGTCTCGGAACGGTCTGGGGAGCTCTCTCGGGGCGTCCTGGCGGCTCCCTGGGCGGTCTGACGGCCATCCTGGGCATCCTTGGAGCGCGTTTGGGGTGCTCCTGGAGCCTCGGGGGCCTCCAGGAGACCTGCCCGGGGTGGGGGGGGGGGGCGGGGGCCAGAATATACATATACAAGAGAGGTCCCGGCCCTGGGGCCCCGGGCGAGAATCCCCCCCACACACATGTACGTATATATATATATATATATATATATATATATGTCTGTCTGTCTGTCTGTCTGTCTGTCTGTCTGTCTGTCTGTCTGTCGGTCTGTCTGTCTGTCTGTCTGTCTGTCTGTCTCTGTCTGTCTGACTGTCTGTCTGACTGTCTGTCTGTCTGTCTGACTGTATGTATGTCTGTATGTATACATGCGAGCACGCATGCATGACTGTATGTATGTATGTATGCATGCATGCATGCATGCATATAGGTATGTATGCATGTATGCACTCATGTATGTATATCTGTCTGTCTGTCTGTCTGTCTGTCTGTCTGTATGTATGTATGTATGTTTGTTTGTCTGTGTGTTTGTTTGTTTGTTTGTTTGTTTGTTTGTTTGTTCGTATGTGCGTATGTATGTATGTATGTATGTGTGCGTGCATGCATGCATGCATGCACGTATTGACGAGTACTGACGAGTACATGCATGTATGTGTATGCATGAGTGTATATGTATGTCTGCGTATATGTATGCATGCATGCATGTATGTGTGTATGTGTGTGTGTGGATGTATGTGTATACGCGTGTATGAATGTGTGGGTGTATGAACATATGAATGTGTATATCTGTATATGTGTGTATGCACGTATGTATGAATGTACATATGTGTAGGCATGTGTGTGTATGTATGCCTGCGTGCATGTATGTATGTATGGCTGTGTACAGGATTGTTTGTTTGCTTGTACACATAGAAGTAGTGAGGCAATGCGTATTGACTAGCTAGAACCGCGCGCGGTTGTGTCCTAGCCCAGGGTAATATCAGGTCCTTGGCCTTCCAAACTCAGCCCTCGGACCCCTCCAGGACACCTGGAATTTCAGGTGCTCGCCACAGGCGTTGATTTGAGCTGGTCCGCCTCGTCGCCCATCTTCGCGCCCTCCTCCTCCTCCTCCGTCCGCCTCCTGCAACTCACGTCAAGGGGAGCCCTGGGACACACAAATACATACACACAAGTAACAAGCATCCCCATAGTTTCACGTATTTCCTGGGTTTTGTCTTCCCCCCCACTTCTCATATTCTCCCATATTTTCTTTGGAATCGACGATGAATTCTGTCTGTGTGTTGTTCACCTCCTGGGTGAAGGAGAGCCCCCCAAAACTTCCGAGGCCCACCCTCGGACCCGTCCCTGCCACGGAGGCCTCACGGCATGCGCCAGGCGCACCGCAGCGTAGCCGGCTGCTCTGCACGAGGTGTTCCGAGGTGGGCCCTGGAAACCCCGCCTGGGCCTCGAGATTCGCAGCTGCGAGCGCGCAGCCTCCTCACTCTCGGCCTCCTCCCCTCGCACCCCTGCTCCTGTTTCTGAGAATCTCTTTTGTGCGCCTTCGAGGTCGGTGCACGGACAACCAGGCTGAAAGTAGTCTGGTTTGGCTTCCTAGGCTTTCAGCTTCAGACCGCCTCGAGGAAGCTTCAAACGGCTCTGTGGAGCCGTCGCGCCTCAAGACAGCCCCGAGACCCCCCGACGGGGCCACCGACAGAACCTCCGAGAAACCCTCCCTGGGAGGCCCCCGAACGGGCCCAACCAAGACGATTTCAGGAGGGCCCAGAAAGAGCCCTCCCAAAGTGCCCGATACGCCTCCAAGAGGGAAGACTCTCATGTCTGGGCGTTGCAGCTCTTCCACACTGGGTGGTTCCGCCCAGTTTCGGGCCCCAGAACCCTCACAAATCGATCTGGCTCGAGGAATGCCGGGGAAAGTTTGGGTCCAGGGCTGCAATTGTAAGTGATCGCGATGTTGTAACTTTTCGCGACGTCGGGTCCAAGGGGAGGAGGACGACGAAGCAAAGAAGAAAACAAAGACGCTGTGGACCAGGGGAGTCTGCTCCAGACCTGCGCCAACTCACACTAGGCACTTCACTGGAGCGGGTCTTGAAGTCAACCACCTTCCTCCTGCGCTGCCGCGCTGGCGCGGTGGTGGGAGTTGCTGGAGGCAGATGAACACATGTGCAGATATGCATATACGTATTTATAGCTGTGCACATATATACATAATTTGATGTACATGTGCACACATATTGATATATAATGTAAATGTATTCATGTGTGTATCCCGAAATCTACGCACATCTGCATTGTATTACCATCGAGCGCGATTCGTGCACGCTGAAATTCTATTTGCCCTGAGGTCTGACGTGTAGCGCGCCAGAGCGGCTTTCTCTGGATAGTCGGGTCCTTTGCTTGGACGCCCGCGCGGTGGTGGCTGAAATCGCACTGAGGCAGGGTACGCGGGCTAGGATGAATGTACGTTTACAATGTGGAAGCATGTTCGAATCATGTTACATAAAAGATGTTCAAAGTTTTGCCCCGCTGCCGTTCCCTGCCTCCGGTCTCCCCACCTGTTAAGAGTAGGTGAGGGGAAATGATTGATATGCCTGTGTGGACCCCGTTGCATTGACGCCATGGGTCCCAGTGCGGGGGATCCATGGACTCTACGGCGGTGGGTCCACGAACTCAGTGGCGGGTGCAACACTTTGGCGCTCGCCCGATGAGCCCTAAGACGAGCATACCGCATGGACATTCTGATGGAGGCTTCACGGATTTCACATAGTGTGGAATCGCGGTGGGGGTGTGGGGGTGTGGGGGGGGGGGGAAACAGCGAGGGAGAAAAGAGGAAGGAGAAATCTCTGCATATTCTTCCGCACAGCTCTCCACCCTGGGTGGGCAGCGGCGCCCACGACCAGTCCGCCCCGTGCTCGGTCACGTCGTCTCGTCCTTCGCCCGCGCGCCCTGCCTCAACGACGTCGGCACGAGCCACCGCCACGACGGCCCCCAGCCCATCACCTCCTGGACCGCCTCCCTCCAAGGCTTCCGCCTGCCCTGGTCGCCCTGAAGGCGATCGATGCCCGTCTGGCCTGCGATCACATTGGAGAGCTGGTCGCAGAGCATGATCGTCGTGAATAGTCCGAAGATGACCGCCACGAAGAAAACGATCACGCACTGCAGTAAATCCGAGTCGACGATCGCTCTCCGCGCAGCCATCCGCCTCGCCTCCTCGTGGAGAAGGTGCCTGCCCTCCTGCGTTTTCGCGAGGAACGCTCTGGCGGATGGGCCCCGCCTGTAAGCAGGAGACCTCCCCGACGTCAGGAACTGCCCCCCGAGGCTGCCAATCGCCGCCCAACACTGCAGCTGCACGTAAACGAGGAAGAGCATAAAGTGCTTCTGGTTCCATGCCCCCACGCAGTTGTTCATCCACGGGCAGTGGTGGTCCATCTTTAGGATGCACCTCCTGCAAACGCTGCAGTGGTGCGACCGCGGTGGCTTCGGGGCCATGCACTTCAGGCACTGCTTGACCGAAGGGTCATCCAGCGCCTCGCGATTCAGGGGTGTGGCTCCGGGGTCTGTGAGCATGCACGCGATGTGCGATAGCAGGCCGAGGGTGAAAAGCATCTGGTAGGCTGCCAGGCACGCTGATGCTCCCGTCTCACCGCCTGGCCACCTGCCTAACCGGAACACAACGCTGTTCGCGAAGCAAAGCAGACCGTACGTGATAATTACGCAGAGCCCCCCACAACAATCCCACACGAACCAAGAGCGGATCGCCATAGCGCACGAGAAAGGGGAGGTGGCCTGGAGGGGAGAACGGAAGGAGAGGCCCTGGAAGCAGCAGAGCCGAAACGGCTTGCGCCAAAACGGCTACGGAGGAGGAAGGAGGAATAGGCGGGATTATAGATACGGAGGAGTAGGAACAGGCGAGTCGGAGGCAAGAGGAGGTTGAAGTACAGGAGGAAGACAGGATCGGGACAGGCAAGGTGCGCTCGCGCCTCATCTGGCATCCTTTCCCTCCTCCTACCCCTTTCCATGGCGCTGTTTTTGTTCTCTCTGTCCGCGGACGCGTGTCATAGTCGACCTACAACTCCAACAAAAAGACGGCATCGTATTGTGCGCAATCGGAAAGGGGGAGCTGCGTGCTAAGGAGGAGGAGGAGGAGGAGGAGGAGGAGGTGGCGGGCGAACAGGAGGATGAGCGGGAGGAAAAGGACGAGGACGAACAGCGGCAGCAACAGCAGGAACCGGACTGAAAGGAGCGGGAGGAACAGGACAACCAGGGGAAGGCGGAGAAGGGGAAATGAGGGGGACGACAACGATGAAGAAAGACTCAGATCCAGAAAAGTGGCCAACGCTGGGGCGAGAGCGCCATTCGAACGACGAAAACTCCGATCTGAAAATGAGGCCAAGCCTCAGCGGGAGCACCATTTTGTAGCACCGAAAACATTGGACTCTCAAAAAGCGTAAGCAAAATCAATTGCTGCAATCCTGTGTCTAAAAGGGCCCTGCATCTCGAAGACGGAGCCAGGTGAGAAAGGAGAGAGGAGGCAAAATACGATGAGGAGCAAAGACGAGGAAGTTGATGAGAAGGCCGGGGGATGAGTGATGGAAGCTCGCAAGTTGAGGCCTGTTGCGGAATTTCTCTGGAGCCTCTTGAAGCCTCGGGTGCGCCTTTGGCGAAACTTTTGCAGTCTTGTGGGGGCCTCTTGGGAGTTATTGGGGGCCTCACGGGGTCCTCGTCGGAATCTCGTTGGGGTCTGGGGAGCCATCTTGGAGGCCGTTTGACTTTCTCGCCCTGGGCCCCACTTGGCGTCTTACTGGTGGTTTCTCGGGCCGTCTGTGAAGCATGTTGGGACGTCGTGGGGCGTTCGCGGGCCGTCTTGGGGCTCTGTCGGGACTCTCTTTGGGCCGTCCTTGATAGGTCTAGGGTGCTTGTTGGGTCGTACTCGCTTCCCAGCCGTATCGGCCTCTTCCCAGAACCATCGACTGCCTTTTGAGGCCTATTCGCTTCGCGCGCGCTCAAGCTCTGGCTGGTGACCGCTTGCCTGGGAGTTTGGACGCGCTGCATGCCTCGAGTCCTGATGCAGTGGCCAGCGCTGTTGGCCGACCTGATGGTCTGGGAGGCACCCGTGGGCCCCACGCCGCATTGGGGCGAGGGGGGGGGGGGGGGAGTTGGGCCGTCTGGACGGTCGCCCGCAGGTGCCGCAGTGAGAGGCCTCTTGAGGCCGTGTTGGGTTGTCTTGGGGGCCTCCTGGGCCCATTTGGGCATCCCTCGAAGCCGTCTTCGGGGCATGGGGGCACGCTGTCCCGTCTTTTGAGCAGGGACCGACCGTCCCGGCGTTCCCATAGTCATACCACGAGTTGTTCTGAGAACCCAAAAATGTTCTAATCACAAAACAATGTTCTTAGAACATACAACCCGATGTGAAAAAACAAGACAGTCCCAACCAGAAATGTTCTGAGAACATTTCGTGGGAACCACAACGAAAAGGTCCTTAGAACATTGTTTGGTAGGACCATAGGCGAGCCAGGACACTTCGCCACTGCTCGAGTCTTGGGGGCCTCCCCTGGCCGACCTGTGAGAAGCCCCTCCCGCGCCAGTCTTGGGGCGCCCGGGGCCCTCCAGGAACCCTGCCAGCTCACCTCGGGCAGCCGTGGGCCCCTCCGTGGGCCCTTCTCGGGGCGTCTTGGCCTCCTCCGGAGGCCGTCGTCGGCCCTCGTCTTGGAGCTCCCGTGGGGCAGCCCTGGGCCAGCTTGGGGCAACACACCGGGACCGCCATCTCACTGGGGCGCCACAGGCTGTCAACGTGTGAAAACTCCAGAATACCGAAAACAATTGGTCCAGAATGGAAAAGCGTGTGAAACGTGTGGCTGTCTCCCTCTCCCTTTCTTCCTCCCTTCGGGCCCAACATCCAGTCCAAGGGGGGCGCACGAACTGGTCAACGCGCCCCTGGGGCCTCCTGGACCTCCCAAAAGCAATAAAACGGCGTCAGAAAGCCCAAACAGAGCGCCAAGACACTCCAAGAAAGCGTCGAAACGGCCCTGGGTAGCCCCACGACGATTAAGGATGGCTTCGAGGCGGCCAGCGAGGCCTCCAAGACGACCCCCAAGAGGGCCCCCAAAAACGAAATTTGCTCCAACACCCAACGGGGCATGTATTAGCGAATTCGCAATTCTGGTCCAGACAGAATCCGGAAAAAAGGCACTAAAGGCCCCCGAAATCGCTCCAAGGGGTCCACTACGCTCCCAAGATTGCCGCACGACGGCCGAAAGGGGATTCCAATACGGCCCGAGAGAAACCCAAGATGGCACCCGGGGCCCCAAGAGGGTCTTAAGAGGGGCTCGAAAGAGGCATCTCGAACTGGCATTCCCGGTGTTTGTTTAGATGGGGGAAAAACCTAGCAGAAATTGAAGCTGACAACTTCACTGCTCGCGCAATCACGTCACCCGCTCACCCGCAACTTGGTTTGCAAAAGCCATGGGGCCGCACTTGCGATGACTGCTGGGCGTTCGTTGGCTGGCGCATCGCTGCGGAAACGCTAGCGCGCGCACGCTCTCGCCCAGAGCGGCCAGCTAGTCTGGCGCGACCGACGCGGCCGCGGTGGCGCTGACTGCTAGGGACTTCCCAACGCGTCTCGCAATCTGCGCTGGCGCCCGTGCACTTCAGTGCGAGTCGGTGATTCGGGCGGGCGCGGTATCATGGCGACGTCGACAACGGCAGACACGATGATGATAGTAGCGATGATGGTGGCGATGATGATGATGATGATGATGATGATGATGATGATGATGATGATGATGATGATGATGATGATGACGAGGGCAAGGACAATGACAATGCCGATGCTGGCCACGCCGATGACGATGATGGTGTCCACGCGTCGGTGATGAAGGCGTTGGAAAAATTTCGGCCTGCGCGCGAAGCTGACGCGGGCTAGTAGTCTGCGTGATACGATTTAACGGGGATCGTGCCCCCCCCTGCCTCCCCAGCAAACGCGCAAAAGGCGTTCGAATGAATCCGGCACGCAAACGCGAGAAGCCCGCCTGGTTGCATTTGATGGAAATTATGGGGACACCGATGGTTTCACACGAGTTCGCAAGCTCGCGCGAGCAGGTCCGCTTGAAACTGGAAGTTGGGAGCAGCTGTGTGATGTTCGGTAACATCAATCTTGGAATCACCACAATCAGCTGCATACTAGGGACGAGCGATAAGGATGCAAAGGCCTTGTAAGGCCATGTCGGCACATTGCGACCGTGGCGCGGCCAGCGAAAGCTGCCAAGGATGGGCCAAGAATTCAAGGGTAACCTTCCAAAACCTCTCATCTTACTATGCGGGTTGACTGTGCGAAACCGAAGCGGTTTTGGAAGAAATTCGGCATGCCCGCGCGACGACACGCGTGTTTCGACTTGTTCCAATGTGTTGCAAGATTTTGCTGGGAGTGGTATGTTGGATACACGAAGTTGCGCGCATAGTATCCGTCGGTGCGGATGCTGAGAGGGGGGGGGGGGGCGATAACGGCTTGGTTGGGACGGTATGAAGCAGCACTTGAAATGCACGATGGGGCAGCATTGTTTGAACAGTATGATCCCAAATGGAAGCGGAAAAAACGGGTGGGTAAGTGGTAGATCCAAACTTCCATTAACAACGGATATCCGACGTGATGCAATCTACGTGGAGCAATACATGCGGTGCAATCCACGTGGCGCAACAAATATTGAAAAGCTCGGGGTTGTGAGCTCCACTGCTCGCGCAATCATCCCGCCCACCTGCCCGCAAGTTCGCTTGCAAAAACCATGCGGCAGCAATTACGATGACTGCTTGGCGCCGGCTGGCGCATACCTGCGGCCGCGCTAGCGCGTGCAAGCTCGCGCGCAGGGCGACCAGCTAGTTTGGCACATCCGACAACGCCGCGGCCGCGCTGACCGCTGGGGATGTCCAAGCACGTCTCGCAGGCCGCGCTGGCACCCGGACACTTCAGTGCGGGTCGGTGAATCGGGCGGGCGCGGTATCAGGGTGACGTCGGTAGCGGCGGAAGCGATGATGGTAGTAGCGGTTTTGAAAGCGATGATGGCGATGACGGCGGCAAGGCCAATGACGGCACCAATGCCAGGTCACGCCGATGACGATGATGATGTCCACGTGTCGGTGATGAAGGTGTGGAAGGTTGGAGGCATTTCGACATGCGCGCGTTGCCGACGCGCGCGAGTGTCCCACAAGGTCACATTTGAAAAGGATCGGGGCGCAAGAGCGTTCGAATGATTTCGGCACGCGCGCGAGACAGGCCCGTGTGGTCCCATGGGACGAACATGCCGAGGAACGGATGATTCATCCGAAAAGCTCGCAAGAGCGCGCAAATGGAAAACATGTGTTTTATCTGCGTTCGGGAACCTCGATCTTTAAATCCTTACGAAGCCCACAGCCTTTGAAGGATTGCGACATGCGCGCGCGCCGACGTGCGCGTGTGGAGTCCTGTGATTGCTTCATCGGTTTATTGCAAGCTTGTGTTTTTGGATAAACAAAAATGCGCGCACATATTCTTTTGACAGGAATGAGGGGGGGGCTATAGGCGATCATTCTGGGGGGGGGAATCTATACTCCATGTAGACAAGGAAACCGATGCGGCGCCATCAATGCTGTGCAATCTGTGTTGACGGGGCGGCCACGGCGACCACGGAGCCGCCAGTCCGCCGCGCAGGCCCAGACGGCGAGGCTTCGACGAGGCCGCGACGAGGCGGCGACGGGGCGGCGACGGCGACCACGGAGCCGCCAGGCAGCCACGCAGGCCCAGACAACGAGCGGCGACGAGACAGCGACGGGGCCGCGGCGGCGACCACAGAGCCGCCAGACCGCCACGCAGACCCAATGCCTT